TCACTTCCTAACAACTATTTGCAATTGTCTTTCACTTAAGATGACAAATAATTTACCGCACAACTTAATGTCCTCCTCAATCAACAGCCCCGAGCATCATGACAGATGAGGCTAGGAGGAAAAAAAGCGTAGCGGTTCTTTCTGGAAGCGTTACCCAAACTCTGAAAGCTCAGGTTAGAGAAAATAAAAGCCAGAAGACAAAACGCACTTTGGGACTTCTCCCCAGATGCAGACAGGTGGAAGGCGGTGTCCATACACAGCAGCTCCTAATGACTGACCAGGACTTACACAAGACATGTGAGCATAGCGATGTGCAGGAGGAGCGAAATTTGAAACACAGCTAGCGTTGGAGACCCTTATGATGCTTCAAAAAATCAGCAAAATAAAGGTTTCACTCCAAAAAAAAGTTTTTAAGCGAGCTAAAACAACAGCTGGGATTCTCTCTATTCTCCAGCCAGCTTTGCCAAACAGTTTTTATCGATTAACTGAACTGGAGGCCCTACAACCATCCACCAGCTTGCTACTTGCAATGGCTGTTTAATTTTTTTCCAGTTTCTCCCTGAGGAAGAAAAGTCAGCACAGCAGTGGCATAGGTTGCAGATAAGCAGAGCACCATTTTGGGGTTAATATTCCTCCCCCAATGCCTGGTGGTAAAGGTCAACTAGCCCGTAAGAGCTTGACAGCACCTGCAACACTTGAACAGCCTGAAGACGCTGGTCAGGATAAAGATTTTGTGTCACCACTTGTGATAACGTGACCCAGAAGAGGCTGGTGTGCAGAGCTAGAGCCTGCAATGGCAGCGACAGAGGGGCCCTGCAGGGCACAACACAACCCCTGAGGCTCTGTGCAGGGCCACTCGGCTACAAAAAGTGAGTTAAAGGAAGCCTTCTGCCACTGATTTGAGCCAAGCCCGGATTTCCCCAGAGCACGCTCTCCCTTGACCTTGCCGAGCTGGTAAGTTTGGCTCATCAGCGAAGTTACGGCCTCTCTCCCTTACAGCTGGTAGGCAGCCTGCAGGCATTACCGCAGCTTTTTGCGAAGATAGGAAGAAAAGCCTGGTTTTCAAAAAAATAAAACAGTTCTATTTTCAAGCACATAGAGAAAAAAAAAATAATTATTAATTCGCTGAGCTGCCTTTCGCACGGTCACCGACGGGCTGGTGCCGGGAGGGGCCCCTGGAGGTCATCCTGCCCCAAACACGGCTACCTCCGCGCCCTCCCTTCGGCCCCTCACCGCCCCCCGAGCCCCCCGAGCCTGTTCCCCAGCCCGGGCCCGCGGTGCCAGGCACACCCACCCCCCCTCCAGAAACCCCAAAACCCCAAAACGCCAGAAACCCCCACACCCCTCCCCCGCCCCGCTCCCCTCTCCCCCTCACACCCCACAAGAGGAGCCCCGGGGCGCTTCAGCGCCGCCCCTCAGCCCCAACGGTCACCCCAACGGTCACCCAACGGCCGCGCCACTCACAGCTCCAGGCTGCCGTAGGCCGCTGCCGCCGCCGCTGCTGCTCCCGCACCCGCCGCTGCCGCCGCCATCCGGCCCCGCCGCCTGCCACAGCCCCGGCCCCGGCTTCAGCCTCGCCCCCTCCGCTCCCGTCCCGGCCCTGCCCGGCTGACGCGGCCCCGCGGACGGCGCCCGGCGCAGGACAAACCGCCCGGGGGGGGGAGAGGGGGAGGCACCGCCCGCGGGGGGGCGGGCAAGGCGCTCGGCGGCACCGCCCGTTGCTCCCCCCCCCCCCCCCCCCCGGGGCTCTGTGAGGAGAAATCCGGCGGCGGCAGCATAGTTGCCAGAGCAGGGCCAGTGGCGCAATGGATAACGCGTCTGACTACGGATCAGAAGATTCTAGGTTCGACTCCTGGCTGGCTCGGCTGTGCTTTTTTTGGCATAATTTTTTGGCGTTACTCTTATTCTTTTGCATTATTATTTTTATTTTGTTTTATCTCCTCCCACTTTTCAGTCCTCGCGCATGAAATAATTTCTTCCCCGACTCCAACCCGTGACTGCTGCCACCATGGGCGCTGCCCTCAGCAGCCCCCCTGTGGCACCTCTGATCCCCCCCCCACCCACTCCAGCGCCCCGTGTCTGTAACCCCCCGGCTTCTGGCAGCTTCTCACACGCTGGCCCCTCACCAAGGAGATAGAGCAGCCCTTTCGAGCTCGCCTCATGGAGCTGGAGCCCCCCAACCCATCAGGGTTGCCTCAGGAAAGCCACCGGGGCTCCCTGTGGGCCCTCCTGCATCCCCCAGAAGAAAAATGCAGCCCAGGATCACGTCCATCACAGCTCCTCAGCACTCAACAGCTTCTTCTATGGACTACAGCAAAAGCCAAGGCCTCCAAAGGAACTGGAGACCCCAACGAGGAGGCTTCCCTCACTGGGCCAGGGATGGAGGGAGCCAGGATTTCATGGCACAGCTTCCCCCCATCTGCTCCAGGTGATGACCAGTGCAACCAGGATTTTAGGAAAGACTTCACGCCAATCGCTGCTGTTTGGTATCGTCTTTAATCACTGAAATCACAACAGGCCAGCAGCTTTGCCACTGCCAACCTTCATCCTTTACAACAGCACAGAAGACCAGCGGGCTGTACTCACACCTGGCTGCGGCAGGTTACACCAGCAGGCACCCTAATAAAACGCTCTCTCCTGGAGTTGCCTTTTCAATGAGGCAAAAAATAATAATGCTAAAAAATAATTAGTACCACTCAGTACCATTAGCTGGGCTCTGAGCTTGCTTTCCAGACACAGAAAGCCACAGGCTGTGTGCCGCAGCCCTGCTGTGTGGGGATGCGGGTAGCTGCCAGCAGGGCTGAAAGCTGCAGGAGGGGTGTCCCTGTGTCCTGGTGGGTGTCCTCACATCCTGGTGGGTGTCCCCGTGTCCTGGTGGGGTGTCCCCATCAACCACTTTCACAGGGCTCCACACCTCTGCTGTCCATGCAGGGACAGCTTTCTCCCAGCCCTCAGCTTGTCTGAGCAGGCCGCTCGGTGCTTGTTGCTGCACGGGTGTCTGGCCACCCTGGAAGAAAACAGGGTGAGGATTTTTACTGTGAAAACCCTCCGTTTGCTGCTCTTTAGGAAAAAGAACAGTGAGCTGGGCTCTGTCTCGCCGCTCACCACAGGCAGACAACAGCCTGATGGCCTTCCTTAGTCGCACCTCATGCCGCTGTGCAGCTATAGTGGGGGAGATGTAAAGAAACAGGAATGCACAAATTCTGTGTGACGAGGGACAAATGTCCGTCCCACCTCTCCCCGTCCAGCCTCAGGAGATGGGGATGTTGGGCCATGCCCTCCCCAGCTCTGAGCTCCTCCTGTTGGTGTTTATTGACCACAAAAGCAGTCCATTTCAGTGGTCATTTCAAGGCATCCCCAGCTACCTCTCATCTGTGTTACAACCACTCCGACCTTGATCCAACCCACACCTATCCACACATATTTATCCCCTTACTGGTTTCACTGGGACTGCCCATGCGCCTGAAGTTTAATCCTAAAGGATGGCGGCTGTGTATTACTCTCCTTTAAGCAAGGACCTGGTTTTGCTGTTGCTGAAAGAGTAAAGTGGCAATATTGCCGGGGAAATTAAGAAGTGCAAAAGAGGGAGTGAATGCTTTAGGAAGAAAGAGCCTGCAGTTCCCCCCAGGGCATTGTGGCAGGGAGATACAGAGGTCTCAGCAGACCCAATGCTGAAACCCAGGGACGCTAAATATTTGCGCAGTGCTAATAATCAGCACAAGGAGAAAGCACGGGGAGGTATTTACTCTCCTCTCCTGAGGGCCAAAGAGACCCCTGTTGTTGGAATGGCTCAGCAGCCCTGTACCAGCCTGGCTTCTCCTCACCTCTGCCGTAACACGCTCCACTGCTGGCAAGACTGCACCATTTCCAGGCCCAGGAACTATTTGGTCTGTAGAAATAAGATATACCCTCCTCCCCACCCCCAGCTAAATCATTTAAACCCCCAAAAAAGGTTTTCCCAGTCTTAAAAGCGCCCAAGTGGGAGTTGGAAGCTGAAGAGCCACAGCCCTCTGGGTCATCAAATGTCCGTGCCAGGGGAAATGCTGCTCCCTGTGCTCAATGTCAGGGCACGTTTGGGAAATCACCTTGGCCCCAAAACACTTCTTGCAATTGGAAATACACAAAAATATCTGCTGCTTCTATAGCTGGGGTTTTTCTTCTGGCTTTTTGCAAAAATCTGTTTAAATGAACTTCTGCATTCTAAATAATAGAAACTTAAAGGCACGATCTGAACGAGAATCTATTAAATGCTGGCTCCTGAGAGCAAGCTTTAGGGGATTCATTTAAATACCTATTTGCATGTGAGCTACTCATTACCATCACACAGGGACTTCCAAGCATCCCTTGCTCTAAAACAAGTCAGCAGAACAAGCTGGGGTAGGAATCAAGGACTAGACTAACTTTTCATAGCAGACAGCACGTCAGTATCTTGGTAAATAAAAAGGCAAGGTGTGCGGGAATAGCAAAATCCCATGTGAACAAGCCAGGTGACAGGCAGAATTTAACACGTGCTTTCTGAAATTCTTCTGCAGAAGCAGCTTTAAACCGGGACTGTTCTGAATTGCCCAATTATGCCTTAACCTTATTTTCTTGCCAAAACGACCATGGCAGCAGGCCCAGTGAAGTCTCTGAAGCTGCAGCTGAACAGGGCCTGTCCTGGCTCAACACTTCACCAAGCTGGGAAGCGGGAGCTGGTGCTCAGCGCCTTGCACGGTCACCTGAGAGCTACCTGCACAAATTTTAGCTGGGAGGAGCTGCCAGAAGGTGAGGATGTGCAGATGCAAAGATGCCTGGGGGTGAGGAGGAAAATCCTGTCTGTGTAGATGCCTCTCCTCCCTTTCTCCCCCCGTGGAGCCGTTTCCAGGTAGGGGACAGGGACAAGTGAGGGACACGACATCAACTCTGATAGCCACGGCTTCGGAGAGGAGGCAGGAGTAACACAGAGCTTAAATTAATTCAAATCCCCACAGATCGAGGCGGTACACATTAAAACACGTAGGTGAGCAAGGCAGTGCGGTATATGCTTTAGCTTCCAAACCATCAACTCAGACACTCGATTTTCAACAACTTCACATTGTCATTTCCAGCTCTTGGTAAATACACAAAAGGAGAGCATTCACACTTAATAATTTATACAGGACCTCAAAATTGAAAGTAGGACAGCTTTCGTTTCCCCGGTGCTGAGGAGTACAGGGTGGCTGACAGGAGTAACAAGACACTGTGTGAAAGCAGAGGCCGAACTTTCCACTGCTTCAGAGGAGGCTCCTGCAAGGTAGCTCGGAGCAAACTGGCTGGTTGAGGCTTTCCACAAAGGAAAATGTTCTTATCTCCCCCTCCCCTTATTTCCCGCTAATTTTAGGGGTATGGGGAAGGCTGCAAGAGTGAAACAGCAGTTTGAACCGCTGCTTAAAGAGAAAAGAATCAGTCCCGCTAGTGTTTTCAGATCTTCTCAAAAGGAAGGCCAGAAAATGTGCATCAGCAGATGCTCCAAAACCGAAGAGCGTTAGCCACGCAGTCGCTGGTCTCTCGGAGACAGTGCAGCACATCGAGCTCAGTGAGGGGAACCGCCTGCCAAGGACTACCTGAATCATTCACCAGGAACGTTCAGCTGGCGTTACTTCCCATCCCAGCACCTTCAGGCAGTCCCAAGATCACCGTCACGTCCTTGGACCGCTCCTGGGCCGAGCCGTGATGCAGGCGACAAGCAATACGTACCCACGGACGTCGCCTGCTGGGATGGGGGCACTGGGGAGCCTGCCCTCGTGTGTTTCATTGCATCCGACACAGCACTGGTTATAATGGTTTGTGCCAGCCCCCATCCCTTTGCTACCCAGCACCTGGAGCCCCAGTTTAAGGCTGTAGGGAGCTGACACATTTGGTCCTTCTGGCCTGAAGGGCTGCTTTCAGAATCAGAGGTACTGCTCTGAGATTTAGAGGTACTGCTCCCGCTGAGCGCATGACACCGTCTGACGACGTGGTGTGAAGTTCAAGCATCCGTCTAGCTACATTTGTGCTACGGGAAAAGGTGTATGGTCGAACCACTGCGGGTTCTCAGGATGGGCTCATTTCTGGAGTCTCAGTGCCACTGCTCAGCTAATTTACTGTAGCTCACTAAAGAGACCTTCACCAATGTGATCCAGTCCTCTATCCATCAGAAATGAATTTACATTTCTAGCATGCACACAAGAGGATTTAACTAGTTTTCTACATAGTATTTGTTGGCAAGGGCAGCTGAGGCTCCCAACTGCATCTGAGACTCTAAATGAAAAGCTTTTTCTTAAACAAAAGCTCTGTACCTGGACGTGAGGGGCTGCTCAGCGCTCGTACCTACAGAACATGCACTGCAGGTACACCAGTCACACAGGCAACACACATCGGGGGAGCAGTCTGCTTTGACTATGAAGCGAGGGGATTCACAAAGAGAAACAATCTGCCTTTCTGCCTGCTCGACAGAAGAGAAAATAAGGGCCCAACTCTCCAGCCCCTTGCTCAGATAAGCCGGTATTATTCATGTGAGCAAATCTGTTTATACCAGTGGCTGGAAGAATTTGAGTACAGGTTGTGGAGCTGGGCTCTAAATCCCTGTATAACAAAGCCTGCATAACAATCTTGAGTTTGTTCCCAGAACTCTAAATAAGCACCATTATGAAATGGCTTTGTGCTGGGTAAACACCACAGAAGGGAGTGGCCAGGCTAGGGCTGAGCTGTGGGGACAAACTGTGAAAACCTCAGGCAAATGTTTGTATACGGAGAACTTTTTTCCACAGTGAGCTCTACAAGCAAGAACGAAGATGGATTTCCCTGGTGTCTACACTTCCAGCATCCCAACCTTTCCAAATATAATCTGCTGTTCAGGCTCTGACACAGCAGACTGCCCCCTGTGTATTGCAGCAACAAGCAAGCAGCAGCCCAGGTCTAAAGTCACTGTGGTATTTCGGTCCAGCTTGTTCCCAGCTTCTTGTTCTGTTCGAAATGGGATGTTGACCTCCAGCTGCTAGCCAGCACGCCTGGGTTGTGCTTGGAGAGTTGGTGCTTTTACAGCCAGACTTGATACCAGAGTTCAGGGAATTCACTGGAAGGTCTGAGCGTGCCATTTTGTGCAGACTCCGTTCTTTTCTTTTCCTAAAGAATTACTAAGAGAGAGAGTGTCTAAAAACTGGTATTAATAATTTGATGTCCTTCAGGGAATCTGATGAAATGTGCTTGTCAGGAAACACTTCCCAGGAACGTTCCCTGGAGGCAGGCAAGCCAGCCTCTGGCTTTTTAATTGTGCACGGCACGATCTGAGTTCATAGGCATGACAGCAAGTTGTGCTTTCTCTGAAGAGCCTTCCAAAACGAGCCAAAAGGAATCTCCAGATAGCACAAAAAGGCACGTAAGAGTAGACCAGTCAGCTTAGATAACATGCCACATTCTTGGTCAAGTAGACATAGTTTGATACAGCTGGAACTCACACGCATACAGGCTCTGAGAATCCAGCAAAAATCTCTCATATCCTTTTACAGGAAAACTGCCGATTGCAGAAAAACATGCACAGGAAATCAACTGAGGGTGGGGAGAGGGAGATCACGTAACAAGCCGTCCGTCCGGGCTTCCAGATATCAGCCACGCTGGCTAGTAGTGATGCTGGTACACAGCTGCTGGGGTTGTGCCATTCTCTATGTGTTTCAGGTGACAGGAGTGACAGAGCAAATGTTCATCTAGAGGGTAACAGCGATGCCCGTCTTCGTCGTTCAACTCCATCCCACAGTCCTGCAAAGAGAGGTCATGCACATTTAATTAGAGCATGTGTTGATCTCCCAGTGTCAGCTGGGGTCTGGCTTGCAGGAGGATGATGTGACTCTGACAGAAGATACCTCGCCAGCAGCTCCTTCCTAATACGTTCAATATTTGTCATGAGCAGGAAAGCATCTGGGCAGCCTTTTACAAGTCTGTCCTAAGTAGTTTTACTGCATAAGCTTTATCTCATGGTGAGTTGAGCCCCCACAAATTTTAAACGTGCTCCTGTTTCCTCTCAGGTAGGATTCACCACTTTGCATTAGATTAATTGTTGTCGGACTAATGCACAACTGACCTGCAGAGTTGGGGTTTCTTTCCACTGCATTACAAGCACAACGACAGATGACATCTATGCATTTAATTCACATTACGTAAGGATGAAGGCTCTCCGGAAAGCCCTGCATGAATATTTAACAGCTCACGTCTCTTGGGATTTTTTGGGCAGCCATATCCTCTCCTCACCCCTGACCACACATTCCTTTCTTTCGTAAGTGAAGGTAACATACGCCAGACAGGATCAGTCATCACCTCGGCGTTTTTGAACAATCTGACTTGGGAATGAGATACACTAACGTGATCTGGCGCTCAAGGCTTCTGAAAAGCAGCAATAGAGCCTTACTGCTTCAACACATTCCCTCCATTAACAAATTGCAAGGTTTGAAAGTGACAATTAGTTTTTTGCCCATAACTTTATGGATAGTGAATGAAATCACCATTGAGACTTTGGTTCTCCAGCTGGAAATTTCTTAGCCATTGCTATTAAGGATCACACAGAGCAAGGTTTGAATTGCTCATATACTGTCACTGGAAGGGAGGAGATTGCTTCCATTTAAAAAATAATAATTACGAACACTATTCAGCACCCATTCTCCTAGAAAGCTGCTGACCTACCTCACAGTGATAACATTCCACGTGGTAATCCTTGTCCATGGACACAACCCGAATGGTTTCATCAGACCCCTGTAAGCATTCAAGCAAATGAGAAATTACAGAGGATTACAGGAGGATCAGACAAGTGCACTCTGTGGATTGGTTCCTGCAACAATATGAATGTTGGACAAATGCATTTTGGCTGCTGGCTGGAAACCACAAATAAATCCTGCCACCTACAGTTATTTTTACACCAAAGCTTCATCATCGGTTCACTGCAGATATCCTCTAAAATGTAACACCACAAATGTAGAATTCTCTCTGTTTGCCAGTCAGAGCTACCCCACAACACGCACTGATGATTTGGTAGTTTCAGTATACCACATTCCTCAGAACTTTACTTTGTTTTTTGAAGAGACCCATCTCCTTAAATATTAACAGGAGATAGTCCCAGAGGGGTCACATAAAAGTGAGTACACAAACACCACCAGTGTTTATGTGAAGGAAAGGTATCCCCACATGATACTAACAGCAGAATAATCTCGGCGGGAGATGAATAAAGCAGCCTGGCCCAGAGGGAATAAGCTGCGTTATCAAGCAAAGGAAGGGTCACGTTTCAAGGGCAGTGTATGAGCTTAGGTCAAAAGGCTGTGCTTTGGAGGAAGCAATTGTCTCTCCCCATCCACAGGAACACTCATTTTGACATGGGCTCAACTGTGAAAAAGAGCAAGACCCGTTCCCTCCCCAGAGGGGATAAGAAATAAAAAGCTCTCACCTCAGAGGGCAGAATGGGAAGTCCACACGCTGCACACTTTGGAGCTAAAACTCTGCAAGAGAAACAAGAAATTGAAGGCAAGTCATACATCAACATAAAAAGTGAGACCTGCTTGTTCTTGGTGATAAGACAAAAAGCTACAGCCGTAAACAATTTATCCACAGGAATGTTTTATATCCCAAGATCATAAATTAATTTTAGGATTGATTATTCATAATGCTTGGCACACATTGCTCAGTCAGGCCAAAAAAAAAATACCCTGTAAATTTCTTGACTGTTATTAAGAGATCTGAAAGGGAGAATGAGAAGAAACTGAGCAGGACTGGCCAGAGAAAAACAAATTAAGAGAACTGTCTGCCTTGCACTGGGGCAGGAAAGCTCAGAGAAAACATCAAGAGACAGTTCAACACAAGGGACAAGGTTCATCAAGGCCTTATAACACAACGTAGTACAGTAAATAAATGAAACTGCAGGGAAATGTGTGTCATTTCAAAGCAATGGTGACACACGGAGGCGATTCTAATCTTAGCACAACACAGAACAATTCCAGGGACTGCTCGAGCAACAATTACTGCCTGTCTGCTCACAAAACAGGAGCATGGAGCAGAAGATAGTACCAAACGGGCACTCAAAATGTATGCTGCTCTAATATTGTAACTACCAGCCAGGAGGGCAGCTCTTCTATTTTACAGTCCAAGTGACAAGTGATTTTTAAGTGGACTTACCAGTTGTGTAATTTAAAGCCGGATAAAAAGTTTTCCTTTGCACATTCAGTGGTGATGTCTAAAAGCATTCTTTGAAAGCCAAACTCAGCCCGGCAGCTACACAAAAGCAACTCGCGTTGATTTCTCAGCCTTCCTTCGGAGCAGACTGATTCCTTTCATCACTGAACACTTCATGAGCACTATTTCACACTTACCCCGTGAGACCACTAAACATTCTCTCTGCTTTGTAGAAAGGGCAGCTGAAGCCCGGAGGGTAAGTGACTTCCTCAAAGTTACACGGGAATTCGGTGGCAGGGCAAGAAGAGAGACATCAAGAACTTTCTAGTATCTACCCCCTCCCTCAAACTCCTGGCTTCTAATCCTGTATCTGTTTCACTAATCCTAATTAGCTGAAAAAATAAATTAAAAGCTTGTTGATGGGATTATAACTGCTGTATATTTTGTCCTTACTTGTGGTAATCTCTGACACAGTAGATTTTGTTTTCAGTGTCTACGGTAAACGGCACACCATCCAGACACTCATTGCAGACCACACATCGGAAGCAACCTGGATGATATGATTTCCCTAGAGCCTGCAGGATCTGCAATAAACCAAGAGACAAGAAAAAAAGTGTGTGAACAGGCAATAAAGGTGAAAATAATACACTCACAGCTTTGCACCAGACAATGCTGCGTGCTCATCAGCAGGGCTGTGTCGTTTTTCAGGCATCTCTTCTAAAAAATGAGTTAACAGGAACAGAAAGGGCAGCTGGAATCAATACAGATCGCCTGGTTCCAGGGAGCTGAATTATTACCATGGGTAAGAAAATAATTTACGGAATCTCAGACAAGATATTTAGCATCACAAAGGATAAAAGTGACAGGACTTAAAGGGAAGAAAATAATTTCTGAAGTCAAACGGTGGAGAATACTTAGCATAATCACAAAGCAATACATACCAGGCCAACAAAAGGAAGTATTTCTTTACATTCTCAGTGAGAGGCTGAAACAATTACTACTGCTAGGTTTTAATAACACTTTAGATTTCTAGGAGCTTTGTACTTACTAGTCTGGCCTTCTACTTAACATACATTATGGAAACTGTGTTGAACTCAACAGCTGAAATTCACCTTTATATAAAACAACTTTTCCAATGTTAATGCTTTTCAGTGTAAGTGGGCAAGCAAAGATAATTAACAACAAGCATTAGAAAACCTTGGGAGGAGTGCTGTGAACTAATCACCTAGAAAGTCCTCATTTCTTTCCCACAGCCATAGTTTTACACCACCGGCACCGTGATCATGAGCTTTTCCCCCCTCCAAATCACCCACAACCAAATAGTGCCTGGTGCTGGTTGAAAGTTAGCTGACCCCTTGAGATGTCATCCCCTCTGTGCAAATCCTGAATGGATGGTAACATGTCAGAAGCTAAGGAGAAACTCCTGCTTCATCAGGGTGTCCACACATCTACTGAACACTTTTCAAGGACCTGGATGGATGTGAATTGGTTCACACACTCTGGGTCAAACCGGCTCCCCAATAATGTCGGCCCTGTGCCTTCCAGCACACACACAAAGCTGCGACAAGGCAGCAGATTCATCCTCACAGTACATGGGAACCCACAGCTTGACTCTAGGAAAAACAGGCTCGGCGCCTCACAGCAAGGGAACACTGCAGAGCCACTGCCCTTTTGCCCAGGATTACACAAACACTGTCCAGGGAAGCCCAAAAAGGGATGAAAGAGCTGAAGGCTCCACTTTTCAACTTGCACTGAAAACAGGATGAGCACAGTCTCTGTACCACACACAGCAGGGTGCAAGCTTCATATCCTTGCAAAAAAAAAAAAAACAACAAAAGGCTTAGTGGATTTTCTTTCTGCTACCAATCTCACGCTAGGCAGACTAGCAGATGATAACAACAGTACCAGATATGAAAATGTTTTGCTTTTGATGCATTCTTCTAAAACGCTGTGGGATTTTTTTTTCCTAAAGCAATTATCACTTACCATGTCCATTATCAAATGGCCACAAATGAAACACCTGTCAGCTGACTGCTGGAAACCAGAATACTGCAAGGACAAAAAAGAATTGGCTTAACATTTCACAAGGCTAGTAGAGCATAAGCAACAGCATGATTTGGCGCTATTAAGCTTTTGGCATTATTTGCTTGGCCACTTTTTGCACTCCTTACACAAACTAAACCCTCCACTGTTTTTTTGTTTGTTTGTTTTGTTTTTTTAGTATTTGAAACCGATGATGGGGTCATGGAGAATATTCTATAGACATGAGACATCCAGTGTTCAGAAGAACTACAAGTTCCTGTAACTTTCAAGTCCTAAATTTAAGGTTAATTTAGTATATAAGTAAATACCATACATGCAAATAAGGTACTTATTCATAAGGCTTACTTCCTTATCTGACCACGTGAGTCTACAATCCAGGAACTTACCTGTATTTACCACATATTCATATCACAACAGCTGCCAAATTCTACCTTTGTTTACACTGCTCTACGCCTACTGAAGATTGTCTGAGGTCAGTGGTGTTGTCCCAGATCTTGCTTACAATCATGTTTTGCCCTGAATATCTATTTTTTTTGCTGCCCTTGCTATGATCTAATGGCAAGGAACTGACTGTCATGCACAGAGCACACACCTCAGGCACAACACGTCATCTACCTAAGGTTTCAGTCCTGTCTAAATGGTGGAAACATGGAACACTTCAGATGCATTTAACCAATTTTTCCATTTTCAGCCTATGTAAAATATTCTGGTGAGAGCAAAGAAGACTAATCTGTTTCTCTTTGATAGGAATCTTCTCCAGTAAGTAGGCAAATATGACTTTTTCAAGTCTCAGTGAAGTCTTAATCTATGAGGGCATGGGGGGCTTACAGCTTTTTGCATTTTCTGTAGCATCAGGGTCGTGATGCTTATCTCTACCAGTGAAGGAGACGACCATGGAGTTGCTTCACGCTCAGATACACTCAGACAAAACTCACAGAGGGCAAAGATAACCATAAGATGCCCAAGAAAAGCAGTTCACTGGAAAAGGAAATGCCCTCGTTCGTTCATTCTTCTGTAGCCATTCATCTATCTCTTATCTCCAGGAATGGCAACAGAAGCACACCTCGAAGGAGACATCACAGTGGGCTCTGAACCCTGAAACTGTGGCCACTAGAGCTGTGTGAAATGCAGGCAAAGCTGCCAGGGAGAGAGGCTGCGCATCTCCCATGGAGGCCGAGATGCGACAGCTCTGTGGGAGCACAAGGATCAGCTGTGTGCTTACCAGGAAATCTTCTTCGCAGAACACCTTTCCATTGACAAAATAAAAGGCTTTTCCTCTCAGCTTTCGACCTAAGGAAAAAAAATAACACAGGGAGAAAAGTCAGCAGAGAGCAGGTAAAAAACATGAGCAAAAACCATGTGCTGAACAGCGGTAACAGGGAAATGATCAGCAGCGAAGGGCAATGATCGAGAGCAGGGCAGCCACGAGCTGGAGAAGAGCATCCGCTTCCAACACAGGTCCTGCTGGCCTCCAGCCCCACTGACCCCGCTTTTCCCTTCACTGGCAGCCTCTGGCAAGCCCTGGTCGCTGGATCCCAACAGCAGCCCTGAGCTCCAGGCAGGAGGAGGGAGGTTCACAACACGAACACGCTTCTCTCCCCTCTCTACCAGTTCATTACTGAAGCTGCCAACTAAAGTCTGAATGTTCAAACATACATAAAAAAAAAGCATTTTTTTTAAAAAAAATATCCTAATGGAGACATGATGATGTTTTCCAAGAAAGGACTCCACATATGGGCAGGATTTGTATTTACTACAGCTTTAGTGTTTACGCCTCGCATTCAGTCTGCATTCGGTTCCACATAACTATGGCAACGCTGCTCACGCTGCTGCTCTCCTAAAGGGGGACCTGCAGAAAAAAGGCTAGGCTTTGCTTCTTTGTAAAATGCTGCTTCTGCCTCTTAGCAGCCCCCTTCCCCTGTTGGGGCAGGGGTTTGACACGCAGACCAACGCTGGAGCAGCTCCACTTGTTCTGCTCGGCCAAGGGTCCCCAGGTACATGCCCAGAGGCAGGACCTGGGGGCAGGGCTGGTGACAGGGACTTGCAAGGCACCTGCAGAAGGAGCCAAGCCACTGGGGCCCAGACAGGTCCCACTTGATATGCTGCATGTGGCAAAAATCATTAAAAATACCATCATCGGATGGTTGTCTATAAATGTAGAAAACACCAGGTCTGGAGCTCACCTCTCGGTGCTTTCTGGCACACCCCTGTTTGATAAATAATCACACTGTCTGCAAAGGATTAAGAAGAGGAGGGTGCCAAGTGAAGCCACTTCAGCAAACTAAACTCTTTGCTGTTTGCTGGCTACGCCAGAGGGCACTCTCAGGCTGGGAAACAACTTGCGGTGCTACGCGGGACATGGGAGGCTCCAGCACAGCCCAAAAGCTTTCCACTGAGCCCAGCGGGGCGCCTGCTGGATGCCACAGGGGCCCTAAACATGCCTCTCTGGCACACTCATCGTTTCCTACTAATCTCTGCTGGAGACCACTGTGTTACTCAGAGGTGAGAGATGTCTGAAATGCAGCCCCGCTAAACCACAGCGCTCGGTTTAGAAAAGAGAAAGAGAAATGCTTCGCTTTGGTTTTAAAGCATGTGGTAGCGTGGGCTCTGCTGATTTTCCCAGGTGCCCTTCTACCTGTATGCAACGTCTCCTTAAAGCCAAACTGGCAGTGGTGAGGAAAAAACATGTGTGGAGCCACACAACGTGGACACTGCTTTGAACAGCCCTGGCTGGTGCAGGAGCGGTGCCCGTCCCAGCAGAGGGGGTGAAGCTGGGATCGCTGCCACCTTGCCATTCCTCCACGGTGACAAAAAAGCCTTTACCGGGCTTTCTGCAGCCGGTATATTTTTAACCCCGTGACATTAGCAGGTGCAGACTGATGGCAACAGACCTTCAGGGACGCCACCACAGCCGGTGCGCCGGCTCCTGCTGTACGCTAATCCAGCAAAGAAATGAACCTCTTTAAAAAATCCTTTATATTTGGCTGTCGGTTTTATGTAGGCCCATGAAGAAGAGGTGCTAACACCAAGAGCACTTTGAGGAGAGAAGGGAAGGATGATATAATTAGTTTCTTCAGGGACCAGGTGAACATTTTGACTTATTTTTAGCTCCTCTCCTCTCCACAACTATCTTTTCTTTAAGCCCCTGGCAGAAAGCTGAAAGGAAATTTGCCAAAAAAAAGGAAATTTGCCAAAAAAGTGAGCACTGCACAGCAATGTCCAATGTCCCCAGGCTCCTCTGGCAACATGAACGTGCATGGGACAGTGCCTGACACGAAAAACGTCCCTCTCACCAGGGACACTCCTGACGTGGGCCTGCAGGGCTTGGCGCAGGCCGTGCTCCAGCACAGGCTGTGTCATTTCACTGAGAGGAAGTATCAGGAACTGAAGCGGCTTCTACAGAACCACAGATTGATGATTACTTTGTTTAAATATGCATCACTTCAAATATGCATCACAGTGACTGCAGAGACAACGTCCTTCGGTAAACCCAGGAGTGTTAATGCATGGCCTGCCGCTTTCAGGATCAGCTGCTCTAACACATGTCTTGAATTGCCAGCTCCCGCCTGCATTTCGCTTTCACTTCACCCTCAATCTAGCTCATCTGAAAAAAAATCAGATGGTTATGATTCTCTGGCATTTCAATCCTTTTGTCTTCACTCATCGCTACACGATTTCACACCCCCTCCCCTGACAGGAAGTTTGGGCCGTGCGTTTTTACATAGTGCTCATCGTCTGCCCGATCCACCCCGCCGTGGGGCCGTCAGGATGGCCTCACGGTCATTTAAACACCAATTTCAGAATATTTCAAGCTTAGTCACCGGTGCCTTCGTGCTAAAATGAACTCTGCTTACTTAGCAGCTGATGACAAGCACAAGGGTACAGGGCCCTGTCCAGATCCCAGGGCTCGGTGGGGACGCACCAAAGACCTTGCTTCTCTTATCTGGGAGATCCCTGTGATATTTTCACAGGGCTGGGCAGGAATCGCTCCAGACTGGCTCCTCGGGTCCTTTTCACACTGCCAGCCCTGAGCCTCCGTCATTACAAAAATCAGCCCCCCTCACGGTGCTACAGCTATGAGGTACATGTGGGCACATGGAGAGACCCAGCACAGGAGTCCCTGCTGCCCACCGAGCACAAGATCCACAGGTCCCCAGCTGGCACGTGCTTTTTTTGGGGGCCTTGTGTGTGTAGTGACTTTGGTGACACACAGGATGGCGTCCTGCCGTGTGTGGCAAACCAGGCAGAGCACCAGAGAGCTCTCATTAATTTCTGGCCATTTCGGCTGGCCACCATTAGAGACAGACGCAGCAGCGAATCTGACACAAACGTCAGTATTTCCTGTCCACTCTGAAACTGGGGCTGTGAGAAAGGGTTACTCAGGCCTGCACATACTCCAGATGAGGTCTGCTCAGCTGAGATCAACAGGCAGATAACCCAGTTCAGATGAAAGGCTTGGTGAAACTGTGGGCAGGACGCGATCTCTCTTAGAAGAAACTGCACCGAAACAGCAGCCCCACTACGACCAGTCTCTCGGCTACATCAGCTGGATTGTAAAATTGCAAAACACCCTCCATGCTATCAGAAAACACTTGAGATAGTAAAAACAAAACTCAGAGAAAAGAAATCTGAGGCCTGAAAGCCAAAAGCATGTGCTGGCACATGCAGCAGCAGGTTAGCCGCCACCAACGGCAAAGCAACCGCAGGTGAAGGCAGAAATGGCTCTTCAAAGGGAAACTCTGCAAAACCACAGCAAGCCGTGTAACTGAGCAACACCTCTTCACTGCTAGTGGCAAACCCAGCAGCTCCCAGACCGGTACACTCACCCTGGGACAAGCAGCGTTATCATCTCAGACTCCCTGCCCCAGTATCGGTCGCTCTCTGCCCTGGGAACAGCGGCTGTGCTCACCAAAATGCACCAAACCAGGCGGTGCTCAGAGCTGTCCTCCCATCCCATCATCACCAAAATGCTCGAACACGGCGAGGAAGAGGGAGCTGGGGCAGCCCCTGCCTCCTGAGCAGTGTCCCCTGTGAGATGCAGCCAGGACCTCTTAAAATCATAGAGCAGCCTGGGTTAGAAGGGACCTCGAAAGGTCAATAGGTCCAACCTTCCACGGGAAAAGGGAGCCTGGATGAGGTATCCAGCACCTTGTTCAACTGCATCTACATCTTCACAGCACAATTAATCTCATGCCTCTTCTTAACAAAAAGCAGTATTTTTAAAATCACTTTAAAAACAAAAGCGCCAGAAAGATTAGGAATATAGACCATTAAAAGAATTCAGCTCTTTTTCCTCATTTTGTCCTTACAATTTCAGACCCGCAGCCATCAAAACACCTGCACCTGAGACAAACCACCAGGCTTACTCATAAAGCCCTGACTGCTTCTGCCAGGTGTGAGCTGGACATGTACCTCTTCAGCAGGGATATCTACTGAGGATGCCTGCACCACGCCGAAACCCTTCAGCTCAGACATGAAAGGGGTATTGCCCTGTGACCAGGCCAGGAGAGGAACAGGAGAGAAGCGTCGCCCTTCCATGGAAGCTGCCCCCATGTTTCTCATCAAGGAAACAAGAAAAGAAGCGTATGTATGCACGTGCTGAGGGGGAACCCCCTAGACAAGGCTGTCTGCCTGGGATTAGGCTGCACGTGCTTGTAGCATTATTTACTGGTCCCAATAAAAACCATGGCCTGGTTGTTCCAGGAATTATACACCAGTACAGGGCATGCTTACACAAGGTAATGAGCCCAAAGATACCAAGAGCAGCATAGCTCTAAGTAGTTGTGTGTTATAATCGCTCCAGCATGACTAATTAGCTCAAGCAGAGGGCTACGCTCGCAGTTAAACTGCCCGATACCTTAGCTACCTCGTTTAGTAAATGACCCTTGATACCTTTACACACAACTACATTGTGAAATAGATTTTAAAAAGATCCCCATGGGGTAGCAGGAGACAGCCAGCTCGTGCTATTTCAGACTCTGCCACTGGGACAGCCGCCTGTTACCCTTACACAGACATCAGCATTAATCTGAGATTACAAAAAAAAAAGTCATGGAGACATGTCAAAGGTCACCTCCTGTAAGCTGGCCAACGTGCCAGATTTCCACCTCTTTGTACCCAGGGGTCACAATCTGGGCCTCGCGTGGGTCCTGCTGCTGCAGGTTGCTGTCACACCACCTTGCAATCAGTTCTTTCTTCCTGACTTCCGTCCTCGCCTACTGATTTCCTTCGTAGTCATCTCTGACACTTCCCTTGCACTTTTTTAGCTTTCAGGTTTCCCCCGAGGACCAAGCGGCGCGAGCACAAAACCCATGTGCTCTCGAGCATGCTGGCAGCAGGGCTGGAGGTCTGTTTTCCAGGCAGGGATAAGCCTGCCCGAGTCCTAGAGGGAAATGCTAAAACACCAGGTTAAAGGATGCTATCTAATTAAATCCATATCATTTGTAAGGCCAGATACTGACCCGCACTGGTTAAATAATAGATGTCAACAGCTGGAAATACCTCTGGGTTTTGGTGTTCTAAGGAGGCGTAGGCTAGTGATTACACAGAGACGTGAGAGGTTAATGTGTAACCAACCATTTGATAAGAAAAAAGGTTTGTCTAACAAGCAGAGAAAAAAACAAGCTGCAAGCAGACACCTGAAGCTCGCAGCAAACAGCTGTAGGACTTTCGAGGACTTTTTTTGAGCCTACTTTCACAGCCTTTGTGTAAGGCAGCAATTATTTATTGCTGGGGCGGCAAAGAGAGCCCGCATTTTTTCCTCCTTCTCTCCCCTCTCCAGAAAGCTCCCCTGTTTGTGTGTCTGCCCTGTAACAAACAACAAGATAAACGAGACATTTATGCCAAAGCAATCGCTCCAAATCTGTTGTTTTGACCTCTAAGCCAAATTTTCTGCATTACATGCCAGTGGCTCAGATAATACAGAACATTTTTTTCCCGACAACTGAACCCTGTAACGAATGCACAGCTCTGCTCCACCAATTGCTCTCCCCAACCATTTATCTCTGAACACAGGCTGTCGGGACACAGGGGGTGCAGGGAATTCGGCACCATGAGGTACCAGCCCTCCCCCCCCCCAAGACCTTCAGACCCTCTCAGCTTTCTGTATCTGGGAACCCAGCGCACCATTTGGACACGAATCCAAGCACGAACAAAATTAGAAATCCTTACTAAAATGAAAACAGCAAGACAGCAGATATAAATATCTGGAGGACAATATGCTTTACCTTAATAGGTAATTTTGTGCTATTTATTGGGGGGGAGATATTCAGCGTTCTACCAGTGCACAGATTTTAGGGCTGAAATCACGAGCAACCTTGACTTCTCAAAGACAGTGTGCTCTGGATGCTGTCCAAGATGAACTTCGCTTGACCTTAAAAAAGCACAGCCTCCCCACTTACTTTTCAGATAGAAAGCAGAGTTTCCACACACGCTGCTCGAGACGTGCTTTGCAGCTAGACAGGCGATGCTGTCCAGACAAACATGTATTTTTCTGGCAGTTAAAACAAATCCCAACATATTTACCCCGGCGGTAGCGTGGTGCGGACCACAGGACGCCTGCAAAGGGGCGCGTGCTGGGGACAGACCCTCAGGCGCTTTGTCCACGGTGGAAATCACCTCAGCTTGAGAAAAAGGGTCACGTTATACTCTCGGTGATGCTCATGGATGGAGCCATGTGCCCCCATTTTTGCAGAAATGCCCCTGGGAAAGCGTGTTAAGCCAGACTCACCAAGAGTCACCCACTTAGAGGTTACTGGGAGGAGAAGCAGGCTGGTGCCACAGCTGAAACACATCAACAGCATTTACTGCAGGCAGCACAGAGCCTTTCTCTCCACTCAGATGTCGCTGGGAAGACTGGCAGGAGATGCTGGCCAGCGAGTGCAGCCGCCCAAGCAACAAGTGAGCACGGGGACTGAGCACTGCCGGGCGGCAGCGAGCGCTGAGGCCGGAAAGAGGAGAACAGCGCTCGCAGAACCGTGGAGCATTTGAAGTACATTTCCTCTTCTCTTTTACCAGCAAATCGCCCGGGAGCAGGGAGGGAAGGGGAGAAGTCATTTCCTTGATCTGCATACTATGGGCCTTTTTGTTATTGTTTGCCTGCCGGGGGCTGGGCTGGGAAGGAAAGAAGCGAACACATCCCTGAAGGCACAGCGCGCGTCTGCTGAGCAACCTGGTGGATTTCTCAAGTCTGCTTCTCTCTGGGTTTCGGACATTAATGAAGAAGGTTTTTTGTTCCACAACGTTCACATGAGAAAAATATTTCTGTCCAGCCCCCGTGGCGGACAACCACTGCTGCCTGAAAGGATGTGTACAAGGGCTCACTCTGACCACTGGTCACACACAGGACTTTTCTCTCGCAGGGCTGTACTGTGTTTTCTGCAGTGTATTTTCGAAGCACCAGTTGCACAGCTGTAATTTTAGAAATTTAAGACAGCTTGAACCTGCTGCTGGATTATTTTTAACGGGAGCACTGCAGGGAAGGGCAGTTCGGAGGCTGCCTGGATGGGGAGGGAGAAAGGTCCCTGAAGCAAAGCCCAGCTGCAGCCAGGGATCCTCTCCGCAGGAGAAGATTTCCAATTAGAAGAGAGGACAAAAGAGCAAGCTGAAGGCTTCTGAGCCTTTAGGAAGCTGCCATCCTGTGCAAACACCCCTCTTTCTTTTCAGTTTTCCTGTCTTCAGCCAGTGCTCCGCTGCAAATCTAGGTGAGGTACCGGGCAGCTGGGGTCCAGCGGAGCTCAAGGTTCAGCTGCTATTAAAAAGCACATGCATTTATTCCCACTTTACAGCTCCAAATAAAACACTAGCCTTTACAGCCCTGATGAGTTTACAATTCTAAATGCACCACAAACAAAACAAACAAAAACTGTAAAAGTTCCTCTTGGAAAACCAAAGCGACGCACGCAAAAGCACCAGATGGATTAGGATTATTTTTGCTGCCACCGCAGATGTAGCTGCATCCCTAAAAATACGCTACCAGCTCCGGGGCTAGGCATAACAAAACAGAAAAACCACGGCCTCACAAAACGACCTCCCCCCAGCAGAAAGCAGAAGGCAGGCCCAATCCCCAGGATCTTTCCTACGTGCCTTGTGAGAAGCTCTTCAACAAACAGGCAGCAGCACCACAAAGACACACAGCTGCGGCAGCCTCCAGCTGGCAGACAAGTGAACAACCGCATCCTCCTTTGTTTTTTTGTTTTTTTTTTCCCCTTAAACCAGAAAAACGTTGAGACAGAGGAATTTGTCAGAGGGCAGAGCTCCAGCGGGCGCCGGGCGCGGGGTTACTTACTGCAGGCCCCGCAGGTGAAGCAGCCGTCGTGGTAGAGGTTCCCCATGGCCTGGCAAGCCTGGTTTGCTCCGTACACCCCTTTGCTGCACTTCACGCAGGTTCCTGCAAGAGACGGAGGACAAGAGAGGTCAGAAGCAGGGTTTGGGTGCCCGTACCCCAGGGAATGCTGCTAATGGAGGCCGCTGTGACCATCCAGCCTGCAGGGCGAAGGCCTTCTGCAAAAAGCAAACTGCAGAGCATGGCACAAAGCCCTCGCTCTGCTCCGCAGCGGCCCCGAGGGTGGGACTCCCCCTCCGGGACCTCATCCTGCTGGAGATCCTTAGTCACGCTGTGGTTAGCAGAGCCTCACTGCTTTGGGGTACCGCAAGCTCCGGAGTCATTGGAAAGGGCCGGTCAGAGCTGGGCAGGGAACCAAGGCAGGCAGGAAAGCGCTGGAAAGTGACTCCCCGTGCTGGCAGCCCCGCTTTGGTTAGCCAGCTCTGCCTGTAGCAGAGAGCTGCGGCCACCAGCTCGCACGTACAGGGATCAAAACGCTCCAGAAGCCTCTGCAATCGCTCACATTTGCTGAAGAGGAGACACTTACTGCTCCCAGATGGGCTTTGTGCACCGCACCGCTGTCACTCGAGCTGCTCCCAGCCCTGCTGTGCCCACAGCCCGAGCACACAGCGACAAAACCCCCAGGGAGGCTGCAGGGAGTGAGGAGTTGCTCGGCTTTGTCCAAATGGGATCTGAGCTGAAAGCCCGGCTTGGCTGCAGGCCCCCGACACACACACGTGGGCACCACGTCTGTAAAACTGGCTGGTTCTTCTCGGGCCACGCAGATTTATCTCAGTTATTTATCGAAACCAGCATTTTGAGAAAACGAATGGGATGGGGAATGAAAGATGAACTGAACCACACTGACATTACAAAAAATAATAATAAGAAGAGACAAAATAAGAAAAATTTGGCTTTTCACATGCCTGTGCTCTGTCCCAAACGTGCAGTCGCCCAGCACAAAAGCGAAGGGCTAGCTCCCCAAATCCCCCCCTGACAGGGGGAGATAAAGGCAAGGGATGGAAGGGGCTGTAAAACAAGGCGGTGATGCCGCCTGCGAAAAATACATCACGTTAAATTAATTGCCCCGCTGTGTAATAACCAGCCACACTATAAATATTTATAGATGTCCCACGGCAAGGCTGACAGCTGAATCATGGCACCGTGGCAAGGCTGCGTGGAGTTTGTTACACTTCCACTTGTACCTGCTACTTCCTAAAAGCCGATTACACCCCGGTAGTGACTGGAATCACAGAAGCCAGCCTTGGCATCTTCCAAGTACAATGCTCTGCTGTAATTTTAGCAACATCCTTTGGGGGAAAAGAGGCGATTCTTAGTACTTTGTCCCCTTGGCTTCTTTCTGCCGCCACAGCTCGCTCCCTGCTGCCGGGACGGCCCCGTTCCTCCAGCTCCAGCTTGGAGGAGCACGGCAGGTCACGGCACACCCCTGCCCTTCTCCGACCGACTACAGCAGCTCCGCGTGGTTTTCTTGGCATAGGGCAATTTTTGCCTACAAAAACCATCAGGCCTCGTTCGGCGTTATTAGGGCATCATGTTTGTTTTTTTTCTTTCCTGCAGCCAGAGGACGCCGAGCCTGAGGAACCGCGGGCGTGCAGCGCTGGTGAATTCACACTCGAGCGCCCCGGCAGAATGGCAGCCGGAGCTGGGAAGGGCGAGGGATGCGAGCTGCTGACTGCAGTCCAATTTCTGCTGGTCGGGCAGCTCGGCCCCGGGGCAACAAAGAAACCTCTGTTCCCCGCCGCGTCACGCGGCGTCAGGCGATGGGGGAGCCTTGGGGCGCAGCAGGGACCGCGGACAGGCCAGGGGGGGCTGTGTCCCTGCACGTCCCCACGCTGGGTGGCATCGCCACCACCCACAGTCAGCTGCCAACCTGCCAGGCCCAGCAGGCCAGGAGTGTTGTTATTGCATCCTGAACTTGCTAAAAACTCACAGCAAGGAATGGTGAATTGAACGGCAGCATTTCCTGCGACGGGTGGCTGTGATTTATTTCCTCGTGCCAGGCGTCGTCGGTCTGCACACCGAGAATGCCGCAGGGTTGGTTTTATCCCCCTCTTCTCAGCAGCGTCCAGGACAGCCAAGCTTTCCTACATGTGTTCCTGGTCAGGTTTCCTAGAAATGCTGGTGAAGTCCGGAGGGCCAAATGTGACGGTGTGCTGCGTCAGTGGGAGCGACAGGAGAATGAACGTCCTGGTGCATCAGCCCCGGGTTAGCTCATCACATCCAGGAACGGCTCAGAAGAGCAAGTCCATCCCACTCCTTTCGCTTACACCTTTCCCTCGCCAGTCGGATTCTTCTCCATCAGAGGCAGCTGTTTGTTTACTTTCGCAGTTAAATTCCCCCTGGTTTGGCAAGCTCTCCACCCCTGCTCCCAGGAGGCTGGATTCGTGCTGAAGGACACCCTCCTGCATTTGGGAGAAGCCTCCGAGCCCGCATGTAAACACCTCCAGTATCATCTTTCCTGTCTGCCCAGGCATGCACGCAGCTAATCCAGAAACGCGCCCGGCTGCCCTCGGGCTCCAAACCAGCTTCTCTCTCACCTTGCTCCCACCTCACGCTCCAACAGGGAGGAGGGCGCTCACGAAGCCTTTCAGTGTTTCCCACCCCCAGATTTGTTCTGTAAGAACCAATTCCTTGAGGCACACACGCACTTTTCAGAGACCATCCACTGAAAAGGAGTCCACCAGGCCACATCCATCACGATGCCCTCGGTTCTGCTGCTTTTACCCCCGATGCCAGCTCCCTGTGGCTCACCTCACCCAGTCAGTTCCACGTTCAGTGTGACGGGGACGTGGCCTTCCCACAGACCTTGGTATGTTGCTATCACCTGTCCCAGATGCTGACTTCAAGGAGATCTGGAGTCCTGTGCACCCACCCCTCTGAAGAGGGGCATCCCAGGCAGACACTCACCTGCTCGGTTCCTCGCTGCGAGGTGAGCTCGGTGACCTGCACACACACCAATCCATGCGCTGAGATCCTTCCAGCCTTCCTTGCTCCACCACGACTCCCCTCCTCCTGCCTCCTCCTCCTCCTCTTCGCCACAGCCGTGGGTCGTGCTGTTCTCCCAGCAGCAGGCAGGGAGGAACGTGCCCACCAGTGCCCAGTGGTAACGATGCTGCTATAAATCAAACCTTGGGAAAAGGCTCGTTTTAACCTGAAACTCCTCTCCGCAGCCCTGAAGTTATCCTTGTGGCCTGTGACACACGCCGGGGCACTGCTGTCAGCAGTGTTCGGTGAAGCCTGCAGGTGTGGACCGCCTCAGAGTTCAATGACCTGTGCTTCCTGCAGTGATAAAATGCAAATTTCACCATGCGTAAGACTTCGAAAGAGTGCCAGCGGCCTTCGGGCTGATTATACCCATCCATACTCGCTGGGGGTCCAGGTCTCCACAGGGTTTCAAAGACTGGGTGACAGCTTTGCTTCTGCGGAGGGGAAAAGAAACCTGCTGGCTTCATCAGGTCTTCTCTGCCGTTCTGCTGGGAAGCGTCCCTGGTATTCTGCAGAATGAGACGCCTGGGCCCTCCGAAAATACCTGCAGCACATCAGCTCGGCAGAAGGAAGGAAGTTGGAACTTAACACCTCACAGATATGTCTAGTCAGAAAGCCATTTGTGAGCATTGCTTAGAAACGCTCTTGGTAACTGTAGACGGTCTGTCAGATCGAGATCTCCACCTAGCTTTAGGAGATAAACCCTGGTAAAACCACGGTGCTGCACCTTGCACCTCCACGAGCATCCCTCTGTGCCTGCAGACCGTGGAACTGCTCTGAACCCCAGGGTTTGCTGAAACAAGAGAGGCTCCACAAAGCTCTACTTCCTCCTCTGCCAGGCTCTCATCTTCTCATTTCTCACCCTCACGCTCCTGCCTTTCTCCTCTTTCACGCACCATGCACCAGGAACACATCCAAACACCTTGCTGGGAAGCGGGCAGCTGCGCTCCTTCCCCTCCCCAGGCCTCAGCGGGGTCACCAGCAGGACCCGCCATGTTGCCAGCGGTACTACTCCCTCCCTCACTACAAGTTTCCTGCGAGATAAAAGCCTTCCCCTGGCGCTACCACCTATTTCGCCACACAAATGTAAAAATAAATCCAGCCTCCAATTACACCCGCCTGCTTTCTCACCTCCTTTCCACGCAGGTTGTGCAGTAGGTACAACCCAGCTGCTTTGCTGGCAACCAGCAAACCTCCCCATTTTTGCACCCCGTCTCCCACAGGGTTTCTCTCCCAGCCCAAGCTCTCGATCAGCTCCTCTCCAGCAGCGCTCGGCACTCCTGAGGTAGGGTCCCGAGCTCAGCCAAGCGGCACGCTCCATCTCGAATATTAAGACAAACAATCGCAGCAAAAGCCCTCTGCAGGCGAGGACCAGCACTCGATGCCAAGAAACACATTTTATTATGCAATTTGCAACTAAACACTTTGCGGTCCCTTCAGCTATGTCCACGAAGCTCGGCGCCAAGCCCACGCGTACCGCGGCTCCTGCACGCGCAGAGCTCCGCCGAGCCACCCTGCTCGCTGCCCGAGCCGCACACGGTTCCTTTACACCGGGCTAGAGCCTCTAATCTGTTCCTGCTTCTGCTTTTGTGTCCGTGGACCGAAAGCGGTGAGGGAAACACAAACTAGAGCTGCTCCTATCACTCGTTACATGAGCTGCAGTGCTCTCGGTGGTTCCAGCCAAAGCAACACCAAGTCTCCTGTTCCTAGAGACAAAGGGCTGGACTCACCCCTCTGCTGCTAAATCACAAAGAGCAGCAGGGAGAAAGGAAGAAAGGAAGCGCTGTTCTTCTCCTTTTTGCTGTCCTGTGGTACTACATCGGTTTGGTAGTACGTTTCTATGCTCGTGCTGATATCCCTGGGTGTAAGCGGGCTCTTCCCACTGCAAAGCACCTCTGGCGGTGGGCTGCACTACCTGTGGACCCGACATCTCGGTCTGCAAGTCGCCTGCTTTTCCAAAACACCTGTGATCCAATGAATTGGTTGGAGAGCCGACAGGGACTGACACTTGGGGGCACGGGAAATCCTGGTGACTTCGGGAAGCCACCGACCTTCCCAGCCCCAAGCACCTTCTCTCCATGAGATCCCACAGACGCGCACAGCCAGCTCCTGCAAATCCCACTCTGGCTGCAGCTCCCTCGCAGGTCGCACAGCCCAGGGCCACCGCAGCCTCTCTGTGCAGCCACACCTGGGGATCTTTTGGGGCGAGCACCACTGAGCAAAGAGCCTCCTTTGGGCTCAGCTGCCTCCCCCAGTCCTGCAGATCACGCAGGTGTGATGCCGTCCCACTCTTCAGGAGGCTACCTTTCCATCCAAGCGTGATTTGAGCACATGGAGAATCGTGAATGTTGTGAAGAAAAGCACCTCCTGGGATGGACACACCACAAGCCACTGCTCCAGTTCATGCTCAGCACTGTCCTCCCCAAAGCTGCTTCCCTACCTGTGCTTAAAAATTAAGGATTAAGAAAAAAGCAGCGTAGGAAGAAGAGCTTCCAGTACCTGTGATAAGTAACGATCACATAAAAAAAGAATGGGAACAACAGAAAAAGCACAACCCCCGAGCAGCACCTGTGAAACACAACCCCGAAGGCGTGAACGCCGCGAGGACACCCGCTGAGGAAGCACGGTGACACCGACCCATGGGTGACGTCCTTCCGCAGCGGCACTTACCGAAGTAGTCGGCCTTGGGCCGCGCATCCATCTCCTGCTCCAGGCGCTGGGTGAGCGCCTCCAGCTTCAGCTCCGCCGCGGACGGCCCCGGCTCCTGCTGCGGAAGGAGGGTCTGGCAGGGCAGCTTGACCTTGGCCGCGCCGGAGCCCTCCTGGTGCCCACCGTCGGGATGGAGGCCGCCCATGCTCTCCTTGAAAGGCGGCTTCGGTGCGTCAGAAGTCAATGGCCCGTGCGCCGCTGCCGGGTGCGAGGAGCCCAGCTCGGGGCCGCCGTTGGCCCGGTGGTTGTGGCCGTGGGCCACGAAGTGGCTGGCAGGGGCCAGGGGTGGGCGCCAGCTTGCTGGTAGTCCACGCCGGGAGCGGAGCTGGCTGGAAAGGCCCGCTGGCCGCCCTGGTACCACAGCTGGCCGCCGTCCGCAGCCGGCCCATCCACGCCAGCCCTTGGACCGCAGGGCTCGGTAAGGGCTGAAAACCCCGCAGTGGGCTGCGCCAGGGGAGCCGAAAACGAGGAGGAGCGGTGCTGGGGCACGGCCACCGGGACGCCGTCCTCATGCCCAGCCGAGGGTGCCGGGGCGCTGCGCACGTGCGAGAAGGACGAGGACCTCTGCCCGGCTGGCTTCGGCTCCCGGCCCCAGCCGCCCCGCCGGCCCTCGCCCCCGTTCTCCTGGGGGTCTCCGCGGGGCTCCGCTTCCCAGCCCCGCCGCCCCGCCGGGGCGCTGCCATCCCCCGCAGAGGGTGCGGGGAAAGCCCTGCAGGCGCCCGGCCGGCTGCAGCCAGGACCCTCAGCCACCATTTGGGGCTGGGGGCCGGTGGCGGAGGCCAAGGGCGGCTTGGCACCGCCGCTGCCCCCCGGCTGGGCACCGCGGGGTGCCGGCATGCCGGGCCGTGGCTGTGGGGTGCCCGAGCCGGCCCCGCCGTTGAGCGAGGCGGCTGCCAGCAGCATCTCCTCCTGCTGCTGCTGCTGCTGCTGCTGCTGGAGGTGGATCTTGGCCATCTTGGTGGCGAAGACCCGGCGGGTCTCCTCGAACTCGGGGTTGTTGCCGGCCGCTCTGTCCACCCGAAAGAGCCCGTCCTTGGAGGCCTCGTACATGTTGAGGTCCTCGATGAACTTGCTGGCCTCCAGGCCCAGGTCGTCGTACTTGTCCATCTTGCCCGGCAGAAGAAGTTTGGTGGTTGATTTTTTTTTCTTCCCTTTCTTTTCTTTTTTTTTTCCTTTTTCTTCTTTTTTTTTTTCTTTTTTTCCCCCTCTGCCCGCGGAGCTGCCGCCGGGGGGGGAGGCACCGCAGCACGGCGGGGCCGGGGGCTGGGGGCCGGGGGCTGGGGGCTGCGTGTGGCGGCGGGGCCGGGGCTGTGCCCCCGCTGCCTCCCGGTCCCTGCCGGTCCCTGCCGGTCCCTCCCGCCGCTGCCGGCCCGTCCCAGGCGGCGGGGACGGAGGCGGGGGCCGGGGCGGAGCCGGGGGGCGGCCCCGAGGAGCTGCAGCCCGCAGCGGGACCGAGGGGGGCGCTGCCGGCGGCGGGAGGAGGAGGAGGAGGAGGAGGAGGGGAGGAAGGCTGGGGGCTGTGAGGAGGGAGAGCCCCGTCCCTCACCTCCTGTGCCCGCTGCCTCTTGTCCTAGCACTGGGCACCGTGCACAAGAGCCTGGCTCCGTCCTCTGCGCCTCCCTTCAAGTGTTTGCAGGCTGCTGAGATCCCCCTGAGCCTCCTCGTCCCCATCTCCCGGTAGCGGAGCTGAGGGTTCACGTGGCTCACAAAGGCATCTGAGCAATTTTAACAGGGGAGCGGTGACAAACACACGCTGAGGGCGGTGCGGGGAGCGGGCGGCCACACCAGGCAGGCAGCAGCGGGTTTGTGCAAAGACCTCGCGAAAGTCACAGGCACCGACACAGCTTCAAGCACCGAACGCCTGCACACAGCCCAGGACAGGTGGCGTGCCCACAGAGCCAAACCACGCCACTGTGAAACTCTCACACTACAAAAATGTGTCTTTTTAGAGAGGGATGAGCTGGCCCCGGAGGCCAACGCTGTGTGGATGAGGCGAGGAGGGCACCACACCGCATCCCCCGGAGCACTCGGCCGCCTCCAGCAGCGATAAAGCAGAGCCCTGGGCTGCCAGGGAAATAGTTTGCATTCCTGGGGCCGGAGCTGCAGGAATGTGCACACCGGTTTAGCCGCCCTGGCTGCTACACTGAAGTACAGGCCCATCCTGGCCCACCCCTGGCAGAAACCCTCACAAAAACAAAGCTAACCCTATCAAAACCTGCCCCCTGCCTGCTTCGGGGCTCTGAGGGCTGTGGTGGGGTTTGTGGGGCTGCGGTGCCTCCCAGGGAGTGCTCTGATACGGTCGCTCCTGCAGGCCTGGGCACGTGTGCTCAGACTTTTAAGGCTCCCCCAGGACTCAGATGTTAAGGAGCGCGCACACTCGCTGCCTTTCATAACCGCGACTCCCAAATGTGTCAGAAACCAAAGGATCCCCTCCTTTTTTTTTTAACAGTTCCCTCACAAAAGCTCTGCTGATCGATCGGGGTGGCTTGCTGGGCCCGACACCGCCCGCATGCAGCCGGACACGTCCGCAACCTGTGTCACCCCAGGAGAGGCGCCTGCCTCCCGGCACTCGCTCCAAACGAGACCAAGGCTCACTCCCGGCCTCGTGCTCCAGCCCGGGCTGATAAGCTGATAAACTTCGGACTCGTGGGAGCGGGCCTGGGTGCCGTTAGCTCATCGTTTTTATGATTTCTGGGGAAGGCAGGCCCAGGGGTGAGGCGGGCGGCGGCCTCAGGCTAGGGATGTGCTACGCCAAGCTGTAAGAAGCAAAACAACACTCAGAAGGAGACCTTTGTCGCCTGTTGAGCTGTTAAGTGATGGATAGTACGGGAGTGCATAGGGAAAACAATCCTATCTGTCAAACGATCCCAGCTACCCATCCTTTTTAAGCCTTGCTCTGCCACAGGGAGGCTGAGGAAAAGAGGATCCCAAGGCTGGGCTGAGCAAACTGCAATTTGCTTTCAGACGGCCTGGGTGCCCCGAGGTTGGGCCCCCTTCTGCACAAGCCCCAGCAGGTCAGGAGGGCTTGGTCTGCAACCGGACATCTTCGTGAAAACCACAGCGTGTCCCCCTCCCTGTGCCACCCTCCGGATGTGTGTAGGAGGTTATTACATAAAAGCCTGCAGGGTGACAGAGAAATGTCTCTCTCCTTTCCTGGTGAAAAATACACCTGGAGACTGGACTCGATAAACCAACGGGTGCTGCCCGGTTTTATGTTCCCTTCCCAGAAAAAACAGCATCCAAAACATGAGCCACTAATAGTTGCCACCAAGAACAGGTAATGGCAGCTCTGCAGATTGGGGTTTGCAGGGATGCAGAGCATTAGGTGGGGCAGGGAAAAGCCCCAGCAGATGTTGTGTGCCAGGTGGGTTTTGGCTTGAGCTACCGCTAACCAACTCTTTGACTCCATCAAAACCACGGAGTCTGGAGATTAAACCCAGTGGGGGCAGCCAAAGCCGAAGCCGAGTTTCAAAATCTCAGCAGCATCCTCAGAGAGGTGTGTGCGAGGCCAGCTTTGGCACGGGGATTGCCCCGGGAAGGAAACTGCTGAGTTTTGAGCGAGCGAGAGGCACTGTGGGTGCTGCTGTGCGACCGCCGCAGCTGGCCTGGGACCGGGAACTTCCCTCACCCTTCGCGGTACAGAAACCAAGAACAAAGAGCAGCAGCACGGGGTTTTGTTTCCCTTATTGGAGCCGGCCTATGAAAACCCTCAGGCGATACCCAGATGATGTCTGTGGGGCAGTGCTTGTGCTCTGAGGAAGGGGCCTGAAAGGCCGGGATGTGTGAGCTCAGGCTCCTCCATGGTGGCAAATCCACCTTGTCCCCTGGAGCGGGCAGGGAAAGGAGGCTTAAATAACCTAGTGACTGGCTCTCAGCGCACTTCTGGAAACCAAGCTAGCTGAGATGCTCAGGCTCAGTTTCAGGTATTACTGCTTTCGTTTTAAACGGGGAGTGTCCCACGCTGAAACAAAAAGCAACAAAGTTGGTACCGAACAACAGCCTCATTGAATTTGTGTGACCTAAGAGAACTACGAAGAGAAAATGCAGCACCAGGTAGATAAGGAGTGGAGCGTAAATCCCACTGCTTTGTCCTGGGGGGAATCTGCGATGGTCACAGGCAAAGAGCAATCGAGAAGGAAATCACACATCATCCCCATGCCTTCTTCCCTCCTCCTCACCGAAGGATGCAAAGTTCAGCAGGTGAGGGTCAGCTCCTACCCAGCACAGTGGAGACCCAGCCAATGCCTACCGTGTTTGTTTGTTTTTTTTTCCTGCGGGCTGAGATGAGGCTCTTCAGTCCTCTAGGAAACAAACCCTTTGGTGGAACAGAAGTATTTGGGCATGGAGGTATCTATTTTGGAACAGAAGTACCTATTTTCAGCTTTCAAAAAACAAAACAAGGAAGAATCTGTGACTTCGCTCAGATCAGGGCCTTTTCCGACTTTCTTTTGTGAGGGTCGCGCGCGCATTTTCTGCCGTTACCTTTTATCTGCCAGCTAACATCTGTGAGTTGATTCACAGTCGGACCTGCAGGAGCTCCCCACCTCTGGGGGAAGCAGCCTGCTTGCAGAACGGCCGCGCTGACACCGCTGACCTTCACCAGCTATGTAAAGCACGTTTCCTTCCTATGCCAGAGGATAAAATCAGCTGTGGGAAGAACAATGCATGCACAGGCAACATGGAAAACGCCGCTGAAGACCTTCAGATGCTGAGCCGTGAAGCTGCGCTTGGCCTCGCTCCAGGCTCCGCACGCACGAGCACACGCTTTGATTGCAAGCTCCCGCGGACGGGAGCCGTAGCCAAGCCATTCAAAGGCAGCTCGGTGCCCAACGCGCGGTGGTTTCGGTGAACGCTAGGCAGCAAAGTACCCTGGAAGTCTTGTGCTTGGATTTATCCTCCGTGAGATTTGGGCCAGGGGTATTCCCAAGCGAAGAGATGATTAACGTGAACTTTCTACCAGAATGGAGACGTAACACTACCCCGCCTTGCACACCCTTGTGCTGCAATTAGATGCCGGCCCAAATTTTTACAGTTCCTGGGAGCTTTACAGCCCGTGCTATTAAGGAATTAAGGGGTCTGCAACTGCTGTCATAGCACAAGGCCAAAATGTGCGTACTTACTTGAATGAACTTAATATAAACACTGTCCCCGGGGGAAAAACCATCGCTGATTTAATCCATGTTAGTTCCTGTGGGCAGGGCTCACGTATTGCAGCGCACTTACTGCCTTCATGCTGTATTTTCTCATGCAAAATAATGTCGATGACTCGCAGCAGAGCCACCCTCCACGTGGAAAACGCAGCTGCCCGCAGGATGGGCAGCCCCAGGGCACATGGGCACTGTCTGTCCCTAACACAGCAAGCGTGCCCTTTTCTGGAGAGGGAGAGAAAACGGATGATTTTTCCCCCCCTTTTTTTTAAATTTTTTTGTTTTTCTGCCTGTGGCAGGTGATCCTGGGCAGGACGGCGGGGCTGCTGGCATGTGCTGGGCTGCTGAGACTTTGTCAGGGTGCAGAGCCCAAACCTCAGCCTCCACCTCCGGAAAACCCTGCGGGAATGCAGCAGTTTGGAGATGTTGTTCCTCCCCACCGCTGCCCCAGGGGCCTCTGCATTCCTCCGGGAGGCCTGCCCTCGCTGCCTCCTCCCGCTCTGCCTCCAAATTTAACTCCCATCAGCACAGGCAAGGAAGGGTGATGCCACCCCAGTCCTGGTGCAGGGTCCCTCATCCCGAGCTGCTGCTGTGGGGTGAGTCTGGATGCAGCAGTGCCTCCCCTCCGTGCACATGGGGTTAAACCCCAGGGCAGGAGAAATTTGGGGTTGCTGAGGAGGTGCCTGGCCAGGACAAGGAGAGCTGCAGCGGTTTGATATCCATCCTATCCCGGAGGAAAGCCAAAGCCAGACGCCAGGAGATTGGGCCAGCTGCTGCTGCAGCTGCTCTGGGGCAGAGCCCGCTGCCTGCACTGCTCTCTTCCCTTTCTCCAGGTGCCACCAGCGGCGGTGGGTGTGATCCTGGGCCCCCTTTGCTGTCAGTCCACCAAGCCAAATGCCTGCTTTGGGTGGCTTCAGAGTTACAGCGAAGCAACGCTTTGGTGGTTTTCCTCTTCACTACCCCTGCCTGAAAGAACAGGGAACAATTTGCTTTTTCTGTTTTCTGCTGCAAAGAGCCTTCAGGCGGGACAAAAACTCCTCTGGAGGATTTGCCAGCTCCATTTCCTTGCCTCTTTATCAGCGCAGTAATGCAAACAGCACGGTGACCTATTTAACCACCACGCGTGGCCTTTAGTAATCCTGGGCTGGAAGAGCTCTCGGCAAGTGGGACGCCATCCCACAGTAATCATCCTGCTGGGCTTGGAGTGGACTCGGCAGACGCAGTCAGTGCATCCACCCGCTCTTCCGTGCGTGTCCTGGAAGGATCTCTCTGACTAACAGATGGTTTTGAATGCTCTTTCACATGGGAAAATTGCAAAGAACATATTTTTATTGCACCCTTGCTATTTCGTCCAGCCACGTGGATCTCCAGGGATGGAGACGTACTTAAGAAAAATATTCATTTCTCAAAGCTTCTGCAATTTTTTTTCACAACGCTTTCTTGGCGTAGCCCGCCTAGCAAGCACGCCTGTATTTCTGCTTCTCAGCAATTAGTGAGATTTGCTAATTATACTGCTGAGTACTTAAAAAACAATTGATTTTCCTTTGTAGCAGAAAACAGTTTCCTGTTGCACCGACTCTCTTAATCTTCATCAGAAACAAATCCAGGCTGCCAACGCCGGCGACGTGTCGTGCTGCTTTATTAAACCGCTCTCTTTTCGGCCCTGGCTGTTTGTCCTGTGTTTATTATTCCTGACCGGTGCGCCTTGGATCATCTGCAGCTGCTATGACTGCGTGTATTCAGCTCCACACATTGCTGGCACCACGCGGAGCTGTTGGAGAGCAACTCCCATTGCTCAGCAGTTTGTGCGTTTCTCCTGGCAGCAGAAGGTGGGTGTACTAGGGGAACCTTGGACCTTTTACGCCGGCTTTTGGCACATGCAAACAGCTACTCACAGATAAGGAAGTTCGGGGCCTTAGGTCTGACTGCGGGCTCTTCCCTTGCGCCCAGCCCAGGGAGTGCAGCCACAGAGCCACCGCTAAGCTCTGGTGGGGCACAGGAGGCATAAGTCTGAGCTTGGATCTGACTTACACCATCTGTGTGTGCAAAACTAAGACTTGGGCACTTGTACGCAAGAGAGCAAGCATAAAGGCACACGTTTATTTTCATGGAAGTGTATAAATTCTGCTGAGAATTATATTAAATAAGGTCCGGCTCTTAAAAGAACTTCTTTTAGAGTTCTCAGAAGACCCCAAATGTCCCAGGCTACACCACAAGCACATGCAGAAAGAATGTGGATATTCAACTGATTATACTCCAGCTTCTTCTGTTTACATGTGCCTTTGCTGAGGGAGCAATTAGGCTCCCTAAAATGGAGTGCAAATTGGCATGGCGCAGGCAGACGAGCATACAAGGAAATGTCCTCCCCGTTCAGTATCGCAGGATGTTTTTGATGAGATTACTGCGATCAAAATCTCTCTCAGGCTTGGACGATGTTCATGCACCAACAGACACAAGTATTCACTTGACTTTGAGTTTCCAGGCTCTCGTTGCCCGCATGGAGGCTTACAGATAGAAGAAGAGCCATCAGGACTTGCCACATGCAGGCAAAAATGCTCATGGTTCGGAGACACCACCAACTGACAAACCTAGCTAAAACATTTTCTTTCAACTGCTCAAACTCTCTGTCTACACACAGAAGTGGAGCTGATGATGCTGGAAGTGGAAGATGATGCTGGTTTGCAGCTCGCCAGGGCTAAAACCAGACCTGAGCTTGCCCAGAACAAATCTGCCCTGGCCAGAGCTTACTTGAGTGAAGAAAGTGCCACAAGACAAAGGTTGTGTGCGACTCCGGGCCTCCAGGGACAGATGGGCTCGGTGAATCGCAGAATGCTTTGTGGTACCGGAAAGTCAGCTCATTCAGGAAAGGGGAAAAAAAATCCCACCTTTCCTCTGCATGTCAAGCAAGATCTCTTTCATCATCTGCAGTGCAGCTGAGAGCTCTGATCCTGTTCCCTCCTGCAGAGATAACACTCCAGGTTCAGCTCGCCATGACTGGAACATGCTAAAAACTGCCTCTTGTCTGCCGTGCCTGGCTGTCGGGCTGCTTCTTTGGGACCTAGACACTGCTTCTATTAAAGAAGGAATAAATAAAGAGTAACATGGCTGTAGTTCCAGCAAAATTTTTTAAAGTCAAAAGCTGACGTTACCTGGACTGATATAATTCACCATTCGGGTTCTGGTGACATTCCTGCCTTCACATCCAATACTCCTCTTACAGTACAGTCCTTTGATACAAAATTAGCTCAGATCATAATAGGAAGGGACTGAAGGAAAAAATGGAGCAGAAAAAGCACCCAGCAAAAGCTGTATGCGCTGTTCTGAGTTGGTAAATATACATAAATGAAGCCAATCCTTGCTCTGTAAACTGTAATAAGTATTGCAAAACAGAAAAAAAAACAACCTGTGATTTCTCCCTCTGTCCTCATTTATAGCAAAGTTTTCAGAAAAGCCTTATATACTGCAAATTTCCTGAGGAACAAACAACAAGCAGAGTGCTAATTAACATTCTTTCTAGTTCATGTCAATTGTAAAAAGTTTAGCGCAGAGGCACAGCTTTCTGTGAGGCTTTACGCGAAAAGAAGGGAGACAAAGATGAGAGACTGCATGACCTGCATTATCTGCAGGATTGCTCCCTCCAGAAGAAACAAACAGGCTTTTACAAAGTCAGATTAAAAAAAAGCCATCATTAACCAGCCGCTAGGACTGAGGATTTATTTAATCTGGTAAATCACAGAGAGAGATCATGGATTTCATTTTTTTTTCACCAAACCTCAATTTGGGGATTCTGTTGAAGTGTATGGGAAAATAAATGCTTGTTCAGCAACCCCCCTGCACGGCTTTTTGTTTGGCACACAGGTAGGACATGTGGCTAGAAGGCTGTTTTAGCTAGCACCCTAAGCTGCTACACTGTTCCTTAATAGAAATTGTTCCTTAATAGAAATTGTTCCTTAATAAAATGCTCTGTTGCTGTGCATGCCATCACAGTCACCGGAGATGCCTATGAAACACTCCTGCCTAATAACACATCTTCCTATGCCGCAGTGTCTTCCAACATGCTGCGCTGCCCCCATCACCCCAGGATCCCATGGGATCCTTCTCATGAAGTCAACGGTGTTGGAAAAAATACCTGGTGGCCTTTCTGGCATTTGCTAATTTTTCTAAGGTCAATGTTTGCAGGCAAATTTTCCAAAATCTTGGAAATTCAGTTATATGAATGATTTGGGTAGGTTGGTAGAAAGTGTGCCAATAATTCTATTTTGAAGTTTACATTACTTAAAAATAAAAATCTGATATAGACTGGGTCTATATGACCTTACTTCTATCACAATGAGCAACAGGATGCAGAACACATACCTTCTGTGTTGTGGATCTGTTTCTTATTTTCCTTGGAGTAACCTTCCCTGCTGCCTTTAGCAAGTCTCTCACATCTTCTCTGGTTCATCACTTCGTGGAATAAGAACACGTGGCACCCTACCCATTTTATTGCATGGGACTGACCCTGTGCAGCTTGATTTATCAACCACCAGCACCTCTCCTTCTCACTTCTCAGATATCCAGATTTAAAACTGTGGATTTAAACAGCCAGATTTAACCCCCCCCAGCCATTTGACACTGAAGTCTTCATGGGCAGACATCTGTGACAATGTTTTATACCACCTTCAGCGTGCAGATACATCTGTACCATAACACAAGTAACAACTGTTAAATAAATGACAGACATCTGTGCTATTTAAAAAAGACCTGGTAACAGCCTACAGCCTGTAAGTCAGTATCAGTCCAATCTAGGCACAGAACAAACCTTTAAGTCACACTTATTGTAAAACACATGGCAATCGTGTTTCAGATCAGGTCAACAGAACGAAAAATATCAGCAGCTGTCAGGACAACTGCAAAACTCCACAGCTGGCACCTCTGCCATCTTTCAAACATACACTTACTGGGGGATTAGGCTCTGTCAGACTTTCCACATCATCTCTCGCATTCCCTTTTTCAAAACCTCTTTGTATCCTCTAGACCACACTGAATTTCAACGTCCTGTAAACATGTTGGCGTGACTTCTGACCACACACTTTTTGTGCAATCGCTGTTCGTTACCTTTCCTTTTTTAGTGCCTAGACGTCCATCCCTTATTTTTCCTTTTGCCTGCATCAGCGACATCTACAATTCACTTCTTCCTCCTGCAAGAGCAAATACACGCCAGTGCTAACAGCAGTAAACATTGTGGTCTGCTGCTCAGCCCTGCAGTGACTGCAGCTTTTGTTTAACAGGCACCAGAGGGCTGCTGGGCTTACAACATCTTTCTTCACCCTTGTAAACGTTAAAAGTTGTTATTTACACCAAACATGTCACCTTTCCCCCAAAGAAAAACTCTGTTTGAATGGTTCCATCGGGTGTGTTAAACTTTTATATGAAAAAAAGCAGGAGCGGGCTGTGCTACAGATTTTACTTTAAAGGATCTCTTTCACAGTCTTTTAGGGGCTTCTGAACAGGAGTTTCATGAATTTATAACAACATATATGTCAGGCAGACACTGGAATTCAAATTATTTTAACTCCAACTAAAGGCCTGTGTCTAAATGTCTGAATGCATTCCTTTGTGGCTAAGATTTTGGGAGTCTTAAAACAGCAAAGACTGTATCTTCATTATAAATATTCTATTTCTTAGTCATTCTTGTGTCAAAGGACAGCTGAACAGAAAATCTGCACTAGCGTGGTCCAGAAGGAAGTAGAAATCAGAAGAGTTTTGTTGCAGATTTAGGAAAGTGTAGAGCCGAATCTGCTCACTGAGCCCAGAATCTCTATTATGTAATCTTTGCTACCAAAAATGATAAAAATAAAATGATTTTTAGTATTTCTCAGCTCGTACTGACACTGCAAAGGATCCGTCCTGATCCTAGCTGCTTAGGATCTCTTGGACTTATTTACTGTGATTTTTGTTGGTTCTTTTCAATCTAATGCACCATCTGGATGGCTGCTGGGTTGGAGGGTTAACAGACCTCTGTATTTGCCTAGCTTCTTGTTATCATCAACTTCTTAGCTGTCAGAAGGGCTCATAAGTGGCTAGTTTTAATAGTTGTTACGGAAAAGGCATTCCTAAACAATGAACCTTGTAACTGTCTCTTTGGAAAACCTTTTTCAAGCACTTGCTAAATACAATAAGCATTTCCATGTAGATATAACAGCAATGCTGTGTACAAATAAAATGGCTGGAATGAGGCATGAGAGTAGCTTTGTCTTTTATGAAAGTCTGATTCTATCTGAGTCTTGACTTTTAGAAACAACTGCTATTTCTACTTAAAGAAACCTCAGCAAAAAAGAAAGGAAGAAAGAATGTTGATTGAAGTTTTATGATCTAGGCACTATAAAAAAAGAGGAGTGGAAGCAAAAAGCATGCTGTCTGCCTTCACTGCTCTGTTACTGAGAGCTGACTCGTCCCTTTCTTGACTCCCTCGGAAAGTCTCTGAGATGGCTCATGAATGGGAAGTAACTTCCATCTGGTCTGTGCAGAAACAACTGTCAGCACTTGCTGGAATTTGACTCTCTCATGTACGAACCAACAAAAATATTCCAGCAAATAAGGAGGATCCTGGCTAAGTCACGGCTCAGTTAAATCATCTGCCTGTTTCCTTGGCTTGCCTCTGAGATATATGTGAAATGGATCAAACCACCCCAGTCTGGCTACCTGCTATGCCCAAGGCAATTAGCCAGCACTAATTAACACCAAGTTTTAAGAAAATATTACTACAGAAAGTGTTGATTAATGGTAGGGTACCCAAACATAAGATATAGGGAGCAAAGGCTGACAGACTGTAGAGCACCTAACATTTGGTGTAGCACATACTCACGGCAGTTGGTTAGTTCTGGAATCCTATTTATTCCTCTGCGTTTACCCAAGCCAAATTTCCAGTAGGATAGATTCCTGAGGCTGACCCAAAACCCATGTGCTTTACAACATTTATGTTCTGCTACAATCATTTAGTTCTTTTGTACTTCCTGCTCATTCTCCCAGAGAATACAGACAACCAGCATCTTACCATGACTTGATAAGAAACTTTTAATTCTGTGCATTTCTCCATGTAGAAATGAAGATTTGGCAGCACCCTAGTTTTGTTCACATTTCTCTCCTGCCATTACATGAGATTTAAATAACCGTAATTGGTATTTTTGAATTGGTTTCATCCTGAAAGATTCCTGTTCCCCTTTACAGCCCAGCAAAGTCTTATTCTTGCACTAGGAAGTTGATAAGGGCAGTTCTTGGAGACAGAAAGGCCTTTTTAATGGTTCTTCCCTGGAGATGCTTGATTCCAAGTTCACTTTGAAGAACTAGTTCGTGGACTTCTTCAAAATTGCGGGCTGCTTGGTGAGGCACAAAAACTTTGCCGCAAGCTTTGTTATTGATCTGAAAAACAGAGACATGAAACAAGGAAAGACTGATTTATACAACTTCATTTCCTGAATCCAATCCATTTCATTACATGTGGGGAAAAAGTGGATCAAGCTGTCTTTTTCCAACATGAAACTTTCTAAGTAGAGGATAAAATTCTCCATACCTCCCTGCCCGTTCCCATATTAAGAGAATAAAGACATGACTCTGGATACTCAAGCGATATTTAAGAAGTAGCCACAGGAAGTTTTAGCCTTCAAGAGAGCAAGCACCACATGACTATGCAATACCAGGATCTTTTAAGCTTGAAAACAAAACAGTTGCACAGGCTGAATAGAGAGACGGTGGACAGATGGTTAGGTGTACAACTTTGGGTTGCACATACTTCCAGACTGCAACTGGGAATTTACAGCTAAATGATTCCTTAGATTCAAATACAAGATATAGTAAAATATCTGTGGCTTAAAAGATATATCTAAAGGATTCAACACTAGCTCATTTTTTTTTAAAATGGGCTCTGGCTTATTATATGCTAGCGCTCTCACTGAAAGTGTGACTCATTAAGCCAACAGCAACCACAAAGATGACAACTCCTCTTAAGGTAATGTCTTCCTGTGTTAGGCTGTTTTTCAGAGCAGTTTCCATGCATCAGCATGGCAGAATCATGTAAGTAAAACTGAGTAAGTCCTTCCGTGGGAATCATTTTCATTTATAAAGTTATCTTATAAATATATTCTGTCATTAAATGAGACTAAACAATATACAGAGACTACAGAGTCCGACTGAGTACCCTTCTGGAATCAAAATAAAAGTCATTATTACTAAAGCTTTTAGATTTATATGAAGTACATTCTATGGATTAATGAAAATAACGCTAATCCCACATTTTAGCAAATTAAACAATTTGAACTTTTTAATCCTGTTCGATCAAATTACTTGCTTGCATAAGAATCTGCTGCAGGTGCTGCAAAGCTTTGCCCTCTAGACACCATCGTAACTATTTTTCAATCACCTAAAAAGTAACACAGCGCTTCGTACAGCCTGGACATAAAAACACACACAGCTTGGCTTGCCCACAGATTTTATCCAGGGTTCGTGTATGCAACATACCACAAATGAGAGAGACCTAATTCAGTTACTTGGTTTGGATTTTATTTACAATAAAATATTCTAAGCAATTCTCAGAGAGAGGAAGATGGGACAGACAAGATGAAGTCTCAGATGGAGCTGGGATGAGTCACTTCTGTTTTTTTGACTAGACCTGACATTAATTTGCAGTGATAATGTAGGTAGGCTTTTAACTATTCTTACATGCATCCATAACTTGGCAGCATAAAAGGCTGTCTGTGTGTTAAACTTTGCCTTTAGTACCTTATGCAAAGTAAATGCTTTGAAAATCACAGAACATTTCATTTTTAAAACTTTTGTGAAAAATATATCCAAGTAGTTCTTTCTTACAGGGCATTTCAAAGAAGAAACATATTCCACAGGAAAAAGAAAATGGTAAAAATCCAACCTGATACAGCTTTGGTTAGAATATAAAGCAAGCTGGTGAGCTTGCTGCTAGGACACACAGCCTGTAGTTGGAAACTATGCCTGCTTAGTTAAAATGTCACTCACTGTCCTCCATAATGCAAATTAATATGTCCCAGTGGACAGATGTTGGCAGGGGGAAAATTGCCACAGCTCGGCTGTTTGGTGCTATTCTCAACAGAAAACACAACCGGACTAAATCAACATCGCAAATAAATGACTCCTGGCAGTTGTGTTTTCCTAGAAAGGTTGGGGAGCCTAGGCGACCTGCCACTGTGTACCTTCCCACAGTATCTGCCCTCAGCTTCCCACACACTGCACTGGGAGGAAAGTCTGCAAACTGTATCAAAAGGCAGGCTGGTTATGATTTCAGCACACATTTGGCACAATGGTTTTCAGCGTAATGTAGGTATCACGGTGCAGAGTCAAACACACGAACGCCATTCCTAAAAAAATGAAATAAAATTGTCTGCAGGTTTGATCACATGCTGTATGTAACAAGCACCCTATTCACACGCTCTTTGAGTTGAGGCATTAGATTCTCAGCAGGACGTATGTCTTCTGCTGTGCTTCCTGCTCTCTCTGTATCTCCCTAGACCAGCACATCCCTCATCAACTCTGGGTGAAAGTGCCAGCACAAGAAACTTGGGGGGGAGCAGCTTTGTTTCTCTGAAAAACTCCCATGGCAAACTACAAGAGGAGGCACAACTGAAGCTCGGGTCCTTTCTTCCCCTGAGAAAGGAAGCTGTTGACTTCTCTTCTGCCCTTTTTTTTTTTTCTTTTTTTTTTTTTTTTTTAGTTTGACATTTTAGACTGTTTTGGATCTAGAGGGATCAGAGAACTAGAGAAATTATGCAGGATGAAATGAAATCACAGGAGACTGAAAAATAAGCACCTGAAGGTTTTGGAAAGTAATTCTTAGTTGGACTTTTTTTTTTCTTTTACAGCTCCCTTGATTCATAACTCTTTTGAGAAGTAAAAACAGAAAACAAGTATTCATGCGGTTTTAGGCCTTCCTCATACTCAGAAGCAGCAAAAATGATGCAAACTTAGTCTACATTTTTAAAAACGTGGTTGTAAGACTGCAGTTAACAGCTCTGCACCACCCACACGACGTGAGGAATGTTAGTCAGAAGTGTGTTCACACGATGAAATGCACACAACATTCAGGTCAGACTTTTCACAGCATTAACAATATATGTCAAGGCGTGATATAAGAGCAGGCAAATTAAAAACGTTCGGCTTTGAAATAACATTTGGAACAACAGGTACATACGCATCTCCAGTTAGTTTAAATGTCATGCTCATACTGTCTGTACTGTATCGGCCAAGGATGCAGCGAGTCGGTTTTACTGCTTTGGGTTAAATATGGAAAGACATAACTCCAGCACAGACAGGAAATAATGAAGTATCTTGTGTCAAGAGAAATAAAACCATAATGTCTCAGCAGGCAAATTGCTGGCAGCCTGAGGCAGTTTGATGGCTTGAGAAGAATAGGGCTGTGGCCCAAAGACTCAGTTTGACTGTGCAGCCTTGTGAAGAGACACTGTCTCTTTGCAACTAGCCAGTTCCTCCTTATTTTGAGTGTTTCTTGTTTTAATGAAGGCAATTTATTTTTACAGCCATACAAAAACACGCAGTGTCCAAAAGACTTTAAAATATTCACAATCATAATAGCTTCTCACTGCTTCTCCCTATCTCCCTTTTGCCTTACTCCTAAGGTAGAAAGTCAGGCACTCCCACAGCCACAATTTGTAAGAAGCATTCTGTCTCTAAGAGGAACTTGTGTCTCTGTTCTTCCATTCACTTACTTTCTCTTGCCCAGGGAAAGTGTTTACATACACCATATTCTTCCATGAATACACAACTGAGCACACGGTGGTTGCTCATTCTCTTATTAGAGGACTTCTACACAAAGCGATAGCTTTGACAAAGTCAATGAGGAAAAGAAACAAAAAGAATTTTCATAATGGTTGTTGAAAGCACAATTAATTGTTATTTTTCTGTTTTCAAGAAGGGATTTTTAACATCAGCAGAAAAATATCAGTAAAATGTTTAGGCCTTCTTATGGCCAGTTGTATAAGTGTTGAAAACATTCAGGTCAGACTTTTCCTTGTATTACCGAAGTTTTTATTTTAAAGATGTATTTTAATGACTAGTTTGCCTGAAATGCAATTACAAAGAAGTTTCTATAATTACAGAGTTTTACAAAAACATAGCTTCCTCATAAATTGAACACTTGAAAGTTGTTTCTTAGCTGTACTTGAACGTGAAGGTTTATTTTAAGCTTGAGCGAAGTAATCATACCTAAGTGAAGATTTTGTGTGACCCTTTTATTGGTATTAAAAATATGTATCGCTTAAAAAAGAAAAAAAAAAAGGCAAGAAAACCACAGTGAATATTAGCATGAAGCCTGTTGCTAACCCCAGCTGGCACGTGAGTCCTCCTCTTTGGTTTGTGCAAAGATGCCAGCAAACTGAAAATTTCCTCCAAAAGACATACAAGGTGGTCTCTGCTAAGCATATACACTGAACTTCAGAAAAACTAGTGCTCTTGGGAGTTTTCCATTCTGTTCAAGTGGGTTGACAGCGCTCTGGCAAGACATGAAATTGTTTGCAAAGATACTTTTATTAAGGAAATCTAGAGCAACACAACTTCCCCTAAATCTAACCAATCTCTTCCCTTCTCAAAAAAACAAAAACAAAAACAAAACCAACAGCTGGACAAAAATAACTGAACTGCCCTACTCCTTTTACCCAAAGAAGCTAGCAGAGTAAAACAGATAAAATAGAGATAAAGTGCATTGTTTCTGTTTCTCTTACACATGTACAGCATGCAATCTTACATGACTGAATGACATTTCTTCTGGAGGCATCTCATTCAAAGTACAGGATGTCCAGAAACACACACACAACCAGGTTTAATTTAAGTTAAAGCACTTACGTTCAGCATGGCTGCGTGGTATATTAAAGGATTATCTGATGAGCAGTGGAAAAGAGAGGAGTGCTGCAGGTCTATACTACACAACTACAACTACATACTTGCAGATAATCACAATGCCTGAGTACAGAGGACTTGAAATCAAGCTGACCAGGAAATCAACTGATGGAAGAGATGAGATGCTACTCACGGATCCCACCCTCCTGGCTCCAGGTCCCACAGTCCCTCAATGGCCTACATTGGCACTCACAGCTACTGCGCTCCATAAAGCTTTATGATGCTTGGGAGCATGCTGAATATAGATATTTAGAGATGTAGGAAAAAAGATGGTAAACCACATTGTGCATGTGCACATGCACATTTTGGAAAATTACAGGTTAGCTAAATGTAGTTATATGTCAGCTCTTCTACTGAACTGCCAGCTCTTTCCATAAACCACTGAGGTTTTAGAGCTCAAAGAGAATCTGGAATGTAATTCTAGCACTAGCGAAACTACCTGTTTTTCCTCAGCCTCATTCCTGGAAAAATGCTTTGCTGAAATTTGCCAGAAGTTCAGCCTGAGGCAGACAGGAAATATAGTTTGGCAAAAATCAAAGCAACTAAAACCAGCTTATAATAGGTTGTATTAGGCAACCACAGGACTACAGGTAGCACGAGAAGTTTCACCTAATTATCCTTTTTAGCACAGGGTCAACATCATAAATGGACTGACAGGCAAAGATTTGGAGGGCCCTGTATTTTGGTCATGGTTTTGGCTGTACAGGCTCTGACCGCAGTTGTTCATCAGTCAGATCTCCACAGGTACTAATATCCAGTCACTCAAAAGATTTATATTTAGACTGTCTCCCTTCCAGACATACTACACGTTTTTCATTTAGGAAACCATTTTAGCACAACTGTAATTGCAGTTTCCATTCTATCTGACCTTTCACTAAGCCACGTAAGAAGGGAACTGACTTCCAAAAGAGCAGGGATTTTGTCATACTCTGAGCTCGTAGTAACACATTAAATGACCACAACTGAAAATAAATGAAATATTCTTACCAGAACAGCCATCTCCACAACATCTGCTGGTTTTAGGTATTCCGGGTCTACTTTGGGCCAGGACTGATGCAGCACGTCAGTCCCCCAGCTATGGTGCGTACAAAGTTTATTGTGCATATGTGCCAAACCTGGAAAATGAAACCAATTCAGCCATATTATCACCAGAGCATTCAATCTTTAGAATTTGTTTGATAAACAGGATGAGAATAAAGTTTGCTTTGAAAGCAAGTCCCTTAAGGATGAAATACCATTGTTTAGATGAACATACATCACATTATAAACAGAAAGATACACATCTCTAAAAACATGTGCTTATACCATGTGTAGGGACTCTAACATGAACATTGGTGTCCATTTTAGATTAGGATTAGCAATCCAAAATTTAGCACTGAAGACCACAGTTTGTTTTAAATTTTAATACTGCAACCCAAGCTGATCTCTACTTTTAGAAGTCAATCATAATAAAAAATAATTCTTTTCAATAACAATGCCAGTTTGCTTAAAATTTTACTAACAATCCAAATGATACACAATTGTGCTTATTATTTTGTCATCTACAACATGATGGCTAGCTTCCTGCAACGTGCTGGGGAGTTTCTAAATCTGTTGAAAGTCAAGCTACTCGCAAGATTTTTGCTGTGTTTTGTGAATTATCTATTCACTTGCAAATTAAAGATGCTATGTAAATATACCCTGCACAGCTTGCTTTCTTTCTTATGACATGTACATTCTGAAATTGTTTATCCTTTGCTTTTATTTTAAAATACTGTTAAAATGGCTATAAATGATCTCCTTTTAGTAGACTTTGCTCTCTCCAAGGCAATTATTTCCTGTTTTACTTAAGTATTAGTAGAATTGGATGTAATTCATTCTGAAGCCACATTCTTTAGCTGAATTAAAGCTCCTGAGTAGAATTTATGTTTCTGTTTACTCCAACTGCAGAGCAAAAAAAAAGAAAAAAGATTTCACTTAACAAGAGGTTGTCAAATATGATCAATATTTACGAGGGTAGCTGTAGTGATTGCTTCTCTCAAAGCCAGTGGATTTTTAAATTAAAAACATGAGTAAGAAGACAGACAAAACTTTTTATTATTTTTCTTTATAAGCATACACTTTCAGAACTAGAAAATGTACCAACCAAAGAGTATTTGAAAATGCATCTGTGGTTTAGGGAAACTCAAGCTAGAGCATAAAGAAAACACAGCACAGTGGCAGACATTACCAGCAAAAACAATCCACCCATAAGACATACATGAATTTATCTAGCTGGATTGCTTAGACTGATACAGTGAACAACAGCAAACAGAGATATAAGGAGAAGGCAACTTCTCCAGAATGAAATCTACCAGATAATTGTCAGTGCTTTTTCAGACAAGGCACTTCTGCAAAACGACACACGATCTTGCTATTTTTTGAATCATGCAGAAAGGAGCAGAGCAGTGGACTGGGGCGAGCTATTTCTACTGGCAAGCAAGATGTGCACATTTCCTAGGAATAACAACTGAGCTACAATCTTTTTAGGTAAATAATTGATAAAACACTTCAATCTGGAATTTGTGTATTTTTTTTTTCCTCTTGCAACAGTTACTCAAACCGAAAAAGCAAAAGATAAGAAATCAAGCAGAAAAAAACCTCTTCATATTGGTGATTCATTATCACGTTGGCTTTAAAGACGACAGCTGCTAAATTCTTCCCCTTTTGGCTTTTGAACACACAGATGAGCTCATTTCTTTCCAACTGATCACATGCCTTGTGGCAGAAGCATGCATAGTGGCCACTCCTTATTTTCCTGTTCAAGTGGATTCTTCTAACTATTTAAAAAACACTTTCTGGAATAAGTCAAGAGCTTCTATCTACACAGGCAAAGCTAGGGGCAGTTTTAATCCCTGTGGAGGCTGTCAGTCCTGGTAAACTTACTAATAAAAAATAATTAATATGTATTCTGAAGCACATAAAGCACGATTAAGCACTATGTCAATCTTTTGGTTCATTTTCTTGCTACAAAATGAGCTATGAGCTCATCCATATTTTTTAAAAAGTGCAAAAGTCAACAGAATTAGTTTCAGAAAACAGAATTTGACAGGAAACCAAAATGAAGGTTTTACTTAGGTTGCTCTTTGGCTTCCTGCCTTAATTCACATTTTGTGAGCTGCACAACACAGAAAATGCAATCGTGATTTGTTTGGCATTTTCAAAATGCCACCCAGGACCAGAAACTTTACCGTCACAATCCAGACTTGCTGGCACACTTAGCAGGACCTAGACAGACCTCCTCCAGCCTTCCCACTTGATTCTGATACATTACACAAAAGCACCATTTGAGAAGTTAAGGACCAACCAATTCACAGACTCTTATTGTGAAAAGATTAAAAACTTGTTTTACTGCCTCATTGTACTGGAAAACACCTAGTGAAACGCACATTATGAAGCAGTGTGTACTATGCTTTCTATTTTTTTTCTCTCAATTTGCTTTTATGACTGCATATTCTTTTGCAAACACAGGACAGAAACCAGTTGAGTGCATTTTCCACAGCCTGTAAGTCCATCTGTTTTTGGGGACAGATCAAGGACTAGATTTGCACTCAAACTGAAGCACTGATCCTTCGACTGGATCTCTGTCAATACTGAACCAAGCTTTCCCTAATCAGTAACTCACAGGACTGGAGCTTCAGCTAGAAGACAGCACCCTATTATGTGATTGTAAATGAGTGAGTTGATAGAAGGAGGAGAGAGGACAAGTCTAACAACACTGAAGCTCTAGGCAATGTTTTATTAGCATTACGTGAGTCATTAGTATTTCATAAAAATAATACTTCCCCTGTGGCGCTGTTTGGGTGGAAGAGCAGATTGTCATTTTAAGCAGAGATTTAAGAAGGAATATGTGGAAGCAATTATGTATCATCAAGGCAAGGTAGGATGGCAAGGTAATTCTAGTCTTGCAAGAAAAAAAGTGTTAGAAAAATGAATCTGTAAAGTTCCAGCAATGGTGCAGCTAGTTTGACATGAAATTGTGTAGGCAAGAGAAAAAGATGTGATTATGGACTAAACTGAGGAATGGCTGGCATGGGGAGGGACAACAGCCAGCACAGGGAGGTTAACAAAGAAAAAAGCAAGGAGGACGGAAGTTTTAATGGGAGATAAAAGGCAATTAATTAAGGCAGCTGAAACTATGCTGATATCTAAGTTTAAGACTAGGGATTTTCTAACAGGAGATAAAAGAAGACCAGAGGGGCAGTATAAGGCGACTATGAGGATGCATTATCCAAATGATGATAACCTTTGGATTTAGCAAAAATCAAAACAAGAGAAATCCATGTTAAGTAAAAATCCAGCACCCTAGCAGCCAAGCAGACCAAGTTTTTAAGAAGCTCAGAGCAGGAATTTGTAGCAGTAAATGGAGATGCACTCTGGATCAGTGTTTTTACTCGCCACAGCAACTCCTTCCAAGGACAGGATTATTATCTTGTTACCTTGCTCTTCATACGCTTTTATAGCATTTAATGAATCTTCCTATTTGACAGATTCAGCCAAAGTGAGTATCAGCAATACCTTTCTGCAGCCCAGGAGGAATACGTCTGTCAGTCACATGTGAAACGGTCTGCAATCCCCAAGAAATTCTAGCAATACAGTAACAGCTACTTCCAGACAGCTAAGAGAAAAGCTGTATTATACTACCAGTAGCACAAAGTCAGGAAAATTTACATTAATTCAATACAGTTCTAGGAAATTCATTTTGTACGTTTCTTAGTGTCAGATGTGGAGCACCAAAGAGGGTTGTGAAAAGCTTGGGTTACTAAAAGCTAATTCTAGAATACATTTCCAATTCAACAAACTTCCCATGAATCTTTTTAACCTCCTGAAAATCACCTGCCTTTGTCCGTCGGTATGGACTTATCCTTCACTTTGGATTACTCTCGGAGGAAAAAACAATTTCTTATTCCGAACTGGGCTTCTTCTTGGGTTTGTGCAGGCTGCTTTGGGGGACTTCTGCATTCAGTTTTTCTATGAAAATCTGCAACATCACTTAGCTTGCAATACATTCTTCAGAAAAGCCTTGTTGAGCAAGGACTGAATCAAGACACAGAAATACTTGCAGTAGAGCTACTGCAAGGACAGTTTTAATGCTGTTAAGACAATCTTAATGTTACAGATTCCAATAATTATGTTTCATTTCAACATATCTGAAGATGTGTTTATCATCAGTATATATCTTTCATGTTCCATCTCTAATAAAAGTTTAACAACTCACAATAGGCTGTTTTATATCCTTGTCTGGACAGCAAAACACTGTACTACTACAAACAAACAAAAAAAATACATCTCAAATGGTGTCTGTATATTCCTCAGATACAAGGTTTCAGGAAGGAAACAGATTTCCTCATCCTGTTAGTGTTCATAAACTGCCAAGATATCAGCCGGATGAACTCTTCCCACACTGAGGGGCTACAGTAGCTTTTTATGTTAGTAAGCTATAAAACAGTGTACATGCTGCACAATTAAGACCATTAGGCTGACACACCAAAATACTGAACACTGTTCCTCCTCTAAGCAGCAAAAAGAACTACTTCATGGACAAAATATCAAAGCACTCAGTTACAATTGTTCAGCTGCTGGAAGGTGAGGCACTTACGAAACAGCATTCAAGCAGTTTTTCCCTTCGCTCACACTGGAAATATTTACTGCCAATCCTGAAGTACGCTCTTCAAACAGCTCACAAAAGAGACAAGACTCTTCACGCAACCTGATGCATGAAAACAAGGTGGCCACATATAAACCGAACCCCATGGGAGAAGAATTTTTGAGTTGCAGAAGAACAAAAATTGTTTTATCTTGAATCTACCTCATCTTACCTTAATTGTACTTAAAACCTGAACATTATATGAGAAGCATCCTTGGGATACCAAACTAAAGTTCTCAGTTTGCAAAGTTCATCAACAAGCTAACAAAGAAAACACAGTGGAATAAAAAGCTAAAATTTCAAATGAACTCTAATGCAACTCCTACAAAGTAGGATAACATTATTACAATCAAAATGATGTAGATTGTTGATGCTGATGAGTCATTATTTAAAATTTCAAGCAAAGCATCTTTAATTATCACCTTAAAATTACCTTTTTAGTTTTCCTAATATTTTCACTGGTTGGCAATAATTGTGGAGTGATGTGCAGTTACACCCAGCTGTATTTAAAGAACTTTTTTACTGTGTCAAGTATATTTTATATTGAAATGGATATCAATAAAAATGAAAAATGCATGTTTTGCTATTTAAATATAAATGCATTCAGGATACAAGTTTTTTAAGAAAATCTGTTAGATACTTGAAATTATATCTTATATAATTATGGAATACAACCATCAGTATATACATATCAGTATATTTTTAGTCATCATATCTTTCAAGATTTTAATACTTATATGATAGCCTGTTGTGCCTAGTTTATAATTCCAATTCTAGAATAGAAAAAAGTTGTTTTTTTTTTTCAATTTCCAGCACACCTGTCATATGAACTGAAGCAAAACAAAACAAAACTATTTGCACCTGCAGAAGAGCTTGCCATTGCCAGAAGTGACTTTATTACCTCTATGAAGTCTCATTCTGTGTGCTTAGCCAGAAAGTTCTATAGTCATAGAATCATAGAATATCCCGAGTTGGAAGGGACCCATAAGGATCATCGAGTCCAACTCCTGGCACCACACAGGTCTACCCAAAAATTCAGACCATGTGTCCAAGTACACACTCCAAACACTTCTTAAACTCCAACAGGCTTGGTGCAGTGACTGCTTCACTGGGGAGCCTGTTCCAGTGACCCAGTAGTCACTACTGGGTCACTAACCAAAATAATTGAACCCAGTAGTCCTTGGGTTTAATTATTTTTTCCAAATCTTTGGCAGAATATAATAGAATATACTAAGTCAGGGTTATCTTGTAGGTTGTCATAATTTCAAATATAATTTTAAATTCTATTGTAACTTCTTCTTAAATGCTTCCTGTCCATAACCAGTGATCAGAAACGCATGAAAGAAGAGATTACAGTACAACAGCAAAAGTCCTATTTATCCTGTGAAGAACAATGCAAACATTCAAAATTACTGGGAATGCTCTTTTCTTCTAAGGCTGTAGCAAAATTAGTATTAGACATCTTGTTATATAATAAACACTTTCTAATGAAAAACAACAACACAAAAGCAAGATCCTTTCTCTTCAAAAAAGCTTAAATACACAAGGAAGCGTAATGTGGTTCAGAGCTAACATAACAAGTCACTATTCTGATCAGTGATCCTATTCAACTGCAAAATTATCTGTTTCGTATTAGCTGCAGGGCTTCCAAATTTCCCAATTTCATGTTTCCCTGTAGAGAGAAAAAATCTTCCTTGTTTTTCATCACTAAACAAAACACTATGTGAAGGCTGTGTATGAGTTACTTCAGAATGAAATGTCAGTATTTAATTATAAATACATTGCTTATGTGTTGTTTATTATTGGCATTACAAGAGCAGACAGAGACTTCAATCAAAGTATGTGGGTCCACTGCTCAAAGTGCTATTTATAGAGCTAATTATACACAAAGTCCTTTTTCCTGTATAGTTTACAAGAAAGGAAGCAGCACTATCCCTACCTTTTAGTGCAAAGACAAGGCACAAAAAGAATGACTTTCTCTGAGTGTGTATGGAGAACTGATGCACACAGAAAACTCAGTATTTAGAAAGCTTATTTTTTATACTGAAGTTATTAAAATAACAGAACATCATCACCCGTGCACAATAAAGTTTAAGAAATTGGCTACATCGGATGAACAGTAAGACTTAGCAGAACCAGAGTGCAATTCAGAATATGAACATGTTGGACATTTTCTACCAGAAGTCCCAACCCCAGGACCGAAATGCTAGATGCTGGTTATTTCTACATAATATTGTCTTCTTACCAGAGAGCAGTAAATGTACATAAATCCTCCTGATAAAATCGTTTAATAATTTTGTTATAATGTAATGATCACGCTGCTAAAAGAGATTGTATTTTCCATGTTCAGTCATAAAATTCTTCAGGCAATAATCACCACAAAAATTGTTTGTTTGCCAGTTGTATTAAATTATAATGGGTCACACAAACAAAACTGCATTTTTAAATGCAGGCAGGAGTTAAGGATAATAACATCCCAGTTTTATTATCCTTCGTTTTCATTTTTACTTCAGAGAGATCCAGAAAGTGTTTAGCATTCTCATTCTCCAATGATTTTAGTAAAAATTAAAGAGTTCCTACTGTAAAAATCAAAATGTCACAAGACTAAACTTTACATTTGACAAATTATGTTAATTATGTCATTGTTACCTCTGTCATTTTATGAAACATATTTGACTATTCTCTACTTCTTAACATGCGTTTGAATTTCACAGTTCACATGATTTCACAGTTAACTGCATGTTTAAATAATAAAACCAGACCACTTCCGACTTCACCTCAACCAATGTGGAAAACAAAATTAGGGCTACTACTTCCATTTAAATATAATTTTAATTAGATGGAACTTCATGTTGTAAGAGAATACTGCCTAAAAGCAGCTTTCTCCAAATGGATCATGTCTATTGCCACTATTAATGAAAGCTTAATTGCTTAAAATAAAGACATCTTAAAAATATTGGGAATGAAAAGAGGAAAAAAAACAACAACAAAACCTTCTGCAATATGTCTTGCTGTTTCCAGTCTGTGCCCCTATGTTACTGCTATGAACAAAAGTAGCCTTTCTTTGGCAGTTAATAATATTGCACTGTCATATACAGCTCTGAAACAGAAGCCATTTAGTAGCTCTGCACTGTAAACACTTGAAAGCATGAAGTTCTAGGATAACTGTTGAAAATAAAGCTGTTAAAACAGCATCCAAAAGCTAACGTTAGGTCCAAAACCACATACCAATTTGTGGCCAGCCTTAATGCAGAATATATTCCTATCTTCCCACATACATGTTGGGACATCTTTTAGGAAACCTTAAAAGTAACCGTTGAACTCTGGCATGTATATCCCTATTTTTACAGGTTTTAACTGTAGTAACACCATGCAACTTAGCCCACTTGGGATTCAGATCTAAAGGTTTACAACTGTAATAACCTTAAAAAATAGATTTTCCATTCCCACTTCCCACAAGAGGTTAATTTAACATATAGCATTCCTCAGTCTCTGGAGAGTCTTTGCAATAACAAGAATATGATTTATATTTAACTCTCTTTTAGCCTTTTTAGTATGCAGTCCTCTGACATGGTACTCTTTGCTTGAATTCCTGAAAGAAGGTATTTCTAGTCCGAAGGCTCTTTTAAAAAGAGCTCTCTCTGTAATTATGTTCAGCTTTTAATATTGCCTTCCCTATGCAGAGGCAGCTAGCAACTGACACATTAATTCCTTCCTCATGCAGGCTCTGTCTTGAATTTTTCCCCCTTCTCTCTTTCTCTGTTTAGTCTTGTATGCAAAGGGAAAGAAACAACAAGTTTTAGGTTTGTTTAGGAATTATGACAAAAGGTGACAGGATAGATGCAGAAAAGAGAGACAAGTAACACATGATTAAAGATATTTCTGCAAGCTTTTTGCTTTTTTTTTTTGCCCTGCTACATCAATAAAAAGTGTATTTCTATAAATACCTTTCCACATCTCTGATGCAATGTGTGGAGCCATAGGTGCAATCATAATGCAGAGTGTAGCCAGAGCATCTTCATATTCTGCACTGTGAAGAATAAGAGGTCGAGGAGCTTGCTAAGTGAAAAAACAAACAAAAAAAAAAGAAAAGAAAAGAAATTGTGAATATGAATATTTTGGGGTGGGAAGGAGAATAGTTTAATTGAAAAGTACATGCATGAACAATTCATTAAGACATCTTAAAATCAGTGGAAATAAAAACTTTGCCTCTGTGACATACGCTGATGAAACTTGGGTTGTCTAGCCTGGAGAAAAGGAGGCCAAGAAGCGACCTCATGGCTCTCTACAGCTTCCTGAGAAGTGAAAGCACAGAGGCAGGTGCTGGTCTCTTCTCCCTGGTCACCGATGACAGGATACGCAGGAACAGCACAATGCTGCACCAGGGGAGGTTCAGACTAGTCATGAGGAAAATGACTTTAACGTGAGTGGTCAAACACTGAAACAGGCTTCCTAGTAAGGTGGTTGATGCCTCACACCTGCCTGTGTTCAAGAGACATTTGGATAATGCCCTCAGCAACATGCTTTAACTTCTGCTTAGCCCAGAAGAGGTCACGCAGTTGGACTTTCAGTGTCTTTGAAGGTCCCTTCCAATGGAACTATTCTATATAACAAAACCTAAAATCAACTTCTATGCTCAGGAGAGTATAATTTCATAATAAATTAGAAACTTACAAAAATTTCTGGTGAATTGAAATTGCATCTCTTGGTCACAAAGTGCTCTCTGACACTTATGGAAAAAAGGACAAGCTGGAAATCTATTCCTGAAGAGGCTGATGCAGATCCCTGGAGATCTACTCTGGTACAGGAGACTGAACACATACCTGTGTAGACACCTGTGGCCCTGAATAGTATTTTGAATGCTACCACTTCGGTAAGTACAAGCCTAGATAAAATCAGAGCTACCTAAAGAGGTAAACTACTGGCAAAAGAAAGTCAATTTGTGATGAATGCAGCATGCTTTTTCCTGGAATAAGGTTCATTTGTACAGGATCCTAGAGTTGTTTAAGAAAAGCTGAATTTAGTGCCCAAGTGATGTTTTAGAGCTGAAGGGAGTTCTGGGGATGATAAGTGCAACACAGCCTTCTATGGTTTGATGTTCAGATTGCTTTAGTAAACTGTTTAGCTTGCCCTAGTAATGACAATTTTCCATTTCTTGCAAATGCGCCAGACTGGCAGAAATTTAACCTTAATTCCTCTGCTTGTTGTATCCTCAGAGAAAAGAAGAGCACTAAAGGCAGCTGGATAAACTTTTTCTTTCTTTGCCTCTGCTTTGACTCAGTATGATTACATCCCATGCTAAGTTCAGATTCTGCATTTATTTTGTGATTCATCTCCCTAATGAAACAGCATGGAAGAATGTCAACACTTGTCAGCTTATGAGAATTATTTTGTGGGTGTGATAATCACCAGCTCCTGCCTACTGGAAAATTGTCCAAAAACAGTGATTTGTTTGACACAGACCACAGAAGAGCTTTCAGATGGCAAATTCTTATCACCGATACCAATGAGGTCAGTGCAAACTAGATTTGATAAGTTTTAGTAACTACTACCTCTTTTCTATATTTAGCTCCACCCAACTCCCCACTTCCTCCTTTCAAATATGACTCAAAGAGGAAGCATCAATAAGGTATAAGGAAATTTGTTCTTGAAAGGTGACTTCTTTAGTTACAAAATATATCAGTGTTCAAATATATACCTCTCTGGAGTATGTGGAGGAGAAGAAGGTGGTCAGGAGTAGTCAGCATGGGTTCACCAAGGAGAAATCATGCTTGACCAACTTGATAACCTTATATGGTGGAATGACTAGCTGGGTGGATGAGGGGAGAGCAGTGGATGACTTCAGCAAGGCTTTTAGACACTGTCTCCCATAACACTCTCATAGGCAAGCTAAGGAAGCGTGGGATGGATGAGTAGACAGTGAGGTGGATTAAGAACTGGCTGGACAGCAGAGCTCAGAGCTACTATATGTAGCTACATATGCAACTTGCTTCAAAACAGAACAGAACAAAGAACAGAACAAAACAGAACGCATCCTTTTGAAATAGAGAACACAGAGGTAAACAAGAGAACCTCGTGCCTCTAAGACTTTCAAGCTCTTCCTACAAAACATAGTATATTTAAGGAATACAGTGATATTAGAACATCCTTCTTTTAATCTGAATAATTCAATCTAGTGTACACAAGACTCTTGAGTCAGTAATGACAGTAAGTGACTTTTGGAACACTATTGATTAGGCAGCTCTTGCTTTGTATAAAGACATACCGGAACCACGACTGTTCATCTTGCATACTTACATGGAGTACGTTAGAGAGGCTCATCAGTCGAGAAATAGCTGCATTGAACAAATGATCCTTTGTGAAGTACTCTGTTACCTTGTATTAAAAGAAAAGTGCTGTCACTAATTAATCGAAGTTCTCAAACATGGAATATTACCTTTCACATGGAAATCACTTTGGTATGCAAACAAACCACATGCGTGTGTGAAAATAATAATCATATAAAAAATTCAGTTGACTAGCTTTCTATCCGTTTCAAGACTTTAAAAGCTTTAATCACCACCAATTAGGACTGTGTATTAGTGAGCACACTCTATTTCCTTTAGTAAAGTATCTTCCTTTTGTTCCAAAAGGAGGTCTTCATGTGTGTAAACTCAGTTATGCTGGTGAAAGAGTGTACATAGATTATAATTATTGTAAGATTATAAGATTATAACTCTAATGACTGTCAAAAGACCTGGAAGGTCCCTGGCCACAGGATTTAAATCAGGTTAAGTTTTAAGCATAGAAAAAAGTCTTAGGCTAATTTTTCAGGTATTTAGATCTCCTTCCAAGTCTTGCATAATTGAATTGACACTAAACACAGCATGAGACTTAACACATAAGAAAAGCTGAACAATTATTTCAATAATTTCTTAGAATATGCTAATATATTTCTCCAACAACTTTTTTTTTTCATCTCTATAAAACAGCAGGGATAATAATGAGGTGTGAAGCAAACAGATCAAAAACTCTTGTGAGGGATAATCTGCATAACTAACTCACCTACAGCTGTGCTACTGGAAATGGAGGTATTCCAAACCCAGGTTCACAACATTTTAATGCCATAACACTTCAGCCTTTAAATAAGGCACACAGGAGATAAATTTTACCAATACAAATGTTACTACTTTATAGAAAAGTTTTGTCCTATGAAATTTGTAGATTAATAAAATTACCTATAGAGAGAATATTTTACTTAAAAATTACTTTATGATCTACTCATCTGTGGGACAACTTTTGGATCTCTAAACCAGGCATAGTTTTTACAAGAGCAATAACTTATTTAGTCATTTACAAACTATGTAAGTGCTTTTTTTTTACCTCAGAAATCACCAGATTCTTCTGTTCCCAGATCTTTCTGGCTTCAGTCCTTCTCTTTCTTATTCAGAAGCTCAGGATTGGGCATGGTTCCTGAAGTCCCTTGCTTCAATAAGTTTGGTTACAAGCGTCCAGACACGAGTCTGCCATCTCTGAACACCCAGTACAGCATCATCTGAGATTAATGAAAGGTTGCAGAAACAAACAGATCTCAGTTACAATGGATGAAGCCAAAACTTCAAAGAAAAGCAAAAAGGAACCTGCATGCTAGAGTTTAACATTCTGAAACAAAACACTATGTTTTACATGAAAAATGTCAATATAATTAAAAATGCACTTTAAAAATAATGCTGTGTTGCCTTAATGGAAAGAAATCAATAATAAAAAACAGATGTATTTTCTGTAATGATTTAAAACATATATATAGCAAAAATATTGGCTAAATCTATTAAATACAGTTATGTCAATGTTAGAGTGTTCACCTTGTGTTTTGAAGACTCAAGAAAACAATTATTCTGCATGCTCTCATTTTTCAATCTCTTGGAAGAATACAAATGTGTATATATATATACAAATACATTTTCTTAGTAATTGAGATTTTTTCTAAAATCTGATCTTAAAAATTACATATACTTTTGTTGCTACGAGCTACCCCATGTGTTGTGGCACAGAGCCATTACTAACGGTATGGCTTGAGGTGTGGCACTCATATGGCTTTAGCTCTCTGTTCCAGATACATCAGGTTTCTACTAGACTGCACATCACCACATCACACTGCACTGCACAGTAGCAACATATCGTAAGATGTTCCAGCTGATAAGGGCTTCCAATTCTGATCCAGCAACTGCAATTGAAAAGACCGCCAGGGCTACTACTAAAAGTGGAAGAAGTAAAACACATGTGAGTGACTAACACAGACCAATTATTTGTCCGATTGCACTACATGAAAGACTTCCTGCACATCTGGAACAGTAAAATACAATCTGATTGACTATGTCTGCATGATCCGCATGAACTCTCCTAGGTGGGACGCAGAACACAATGCTCTTCCCAAACTTTCCATCTCCTGTTCATACCGGAAGCTTGTAGATCATCTAAACACTCTGGCTTGGTATTATCTAACACTGTAGTAATGGTGTAATAAGCTACTGGGTAAATTTGGCCACATTTGGTCTTGCATACTCTAGACAATTACTTGCACACACCAGGGAAAGAATGACATGGGATCTTGCCCTCATTTCCACAAGTGAAGACAAGGAATAAAGTTTGGAGGACAATCCTCGAAAGACTGTCAAAATAAATCCAGTAAGGAGGATCATGGCAAATGAAAAGTGGTATTTAATATTCTCCTAATAAGTCAATATCCACCTAATAGGACAATTTTCTGTTTACTTGATTGATTTCTTCAATTTAAACATTATTTTGTTATCACAATTGGCTTGCAAGGTTACTGTATTGCAAACAATCTTACATCAATTGTAAAAATTGTGAAGTTTTATCTTATAATGAAGAAAATAACCTTAAAATAATCAATCATTTGTAGATAATTAAAAAAAAAAAGAGACAGAAAATAAGATCCAAGTTTGCATTCTTACTATTTCAGAGTAAAGTATCATTTGAGACATGCTTTTCAGACATATATTTTTTTTTAACTTTAAAGAGGTAAACTGCTTGCGGTAATCTTGCAAGTCTGCCTCTGTGTCATAGTTTTGTGACTTCTCTTTTAAAAGAAACATTAAAATTGTATCTTTTTATTCAACTGTTCAAAAAACTTGGGCAACAAGAACTGTTTTAATTTTGTGTTTAAAATGTACCACACCAGGAAAAAAACAACAGAGTTTGACTTACTTTTAGCATCCCACAAAATGTCTTGATCTGGAGGAGCAGCAAACAGAATGTAAAGACGTATGGTGTCAATGCCATATTCTTTCACTAATTCTTCAGGATCTATTCCGTTGTGCTTAGATTTGCTCATTTTTTCCCATGTGACTTGGAGTTTCTCACCAGTTTTTAGGTGAACTGGTTCGGTGCCTAAATATTAAGACATACACAAAATATTAAAACAAATTTTGCTCACCTGTAACAACCATTGATTTGGTTATCTAAGCATATTAAGAAACAACTATTTCTATTTCTTTTGCTGTTTGTTTGCGGGTGAGGGGAAATAATTGTAAAAGTAATAACCCTTTTCCCTCCCCAGTTTTTCCTACTTTCATATTTTAATGCAGGTAACATCCAAATACTTCCATTGCCTCATGACAGAAAGTGTCCTTCTACCATTTGGAAGCTGTATTTTGGCACTCATCCTACGTGCTTGACAGCCTCTGAGATTTAAGCATTGTTATAACCATACCATTTAAAACTTCCTAGATAGGTATACCAATTTGGTACAATTTTGAGCTGCTGTTGGCTTTTATGGATCCAGGTTTATAACTCCAATTGTTATCCTGGCAATAACCTGACCTCTGTTGAATGAGTTTAAGGATGGAAAGGGGCATTTACACTGGTAAAGGTGCACCCAAGCAAAACCACCTGTTGTTCTTTATGGAAGAAATAGGATAGTAGATAATGGTAGCGTAACAGGTTCTTTTGTCTGTTTTTAATGGTCTTATGGGATTTGTATTCAGGAGAAGAGCAGAGCAAACAAAGCTGCACGAGGGAAGTGCTTAAGGGAGGCAAATGTGACCAAGCCCCTCTTGTTGCTCCTACAGCTCCCCAAACAAGGGCAGATGATTCAGCTTATGCAGTGAAGGCACTGGGAAGAACTGAGAAATAGCACTTTTTCCTATACCCATTACACATGTAACATTTACCAAATATACCACCAGCTGTGTTAACTTTGCCAGTGTTTTTGTAGGTTATCTGTCTGATGGGACTACTAACTCCATTCAGCAAGCTGCTGAGCACTGTCTTACCAAAACTGACTTCTGGTCCTTTGGACTACACTGGAGCTAAAATAATATCATAGCACTGTTTCTGTATTTAGTTGCAATTAAAAGTTGCTAGATTAGTAGGGTCTCTTTACACTCAGCAGTGGATATGAATCCCAAACTCACAGAAGACACTCTCTGATTGTGATATTACAAGGATTCATTTTTCTCCACCAAACTTTCCCAGCACTGAGTCCTGTATGTCTTCTTTTAACTGAAGTAGTCCCTGACTTTCTGTATGCACTTGTGCTGGTTTTCCCATGCTTTTTCTCTTACCAGTGAAATCAATCTCCTCTCTCTTCAAATACTGGCCTGTTGATGTTAGTCTGAACGTCTGATTCTTGATAAGACCTTGAACCAAAAGCTTATGGAAAGGCTCCCTAAGGATGGAAGGATAAAGAAACGTTTATGTTGAAAACAGCTTTCAAAAGCATACTTTAGATTAAGCCTCAGATGTTGAGCCAATCAGGCAGTTATTTAACGAAACAAGAATTTCACGATGACTGTGCATAAATGGTTGCCACCTTAGAAAGAGCACTTTCTGCATTTATTCATGGTGCCGGGCCGACAAATGTAAGTATTTATTTGTATTCTGTACACATTCTTGCATCCTGATTTAGTGCTGAGTTATTACAATGCCACTTCTCAAATTAGCATACAGGTAATACACAGAAGTTCCTTGGCCAACTGTGGAAGTTCACCAAGTCTAAGCTAAATCCCCATTTGCAGAAGTGGGCAAATACAAAACCCTTATATTTTTTAGAAATATTTAGTTCTAACTTCTCTCTAAGAAATGCAGTATTTTGGAACAAATCAAATGCTCGCTGCACATTTCTTTCTATAAACTGAGAAGGTAGTTTCTCTAACATAAGCATTTGCATGCCTTGCCTCTTTGCAGAACTAACCGTGAAGACCTAGCTGTAAGAAAAAGAGTACACAAGAAAATGGCAATGCTGGAAAGTTCACTTCAGTGGATCAATTTTTATTTTTAGCATCTTGAACATTAAAACTTTAATTTTCTAAAAAAAAATTTACATCAGGAAGCGTAAGTTCTCACTCAATGTGTGTATCGCAGAGATAAAATGAGCCTTAAAAGCACCAAAGCTAAAGGCAGTAGGGCACTCAGCAAGAAAAAACTCTAAGTAAATACTTTTCTGGTTGACAGATACATTATTGCTTCTTCTGAGGATCTTACATTTCTAATTCACCGAGTCAGATGTCTATCATCCGTTTTCACTGGAAAAAGGACAACAAAAGTAATCTCTAGAGGTTTTGGTCAGGAAAGTAAGGCAGTTGTAAAAGCAGCCCCAAGAACTTTAGTGGCCAGGAAAGAGGTATGGAGCCAGATCCAAAGGGTACAGATTTGGGGGAGTTTTCCCATGGGATCCTCAGATACAAAGACACTGGTGACCATCATTTTGGAGGATGTACTAATCTGTCCTGCTCAGTATTGGCCAGTAACTCCTAATGCTCATGTGCTCAGCATTAAGCTATCTCAATTCCCCACAATTCCACCTAACAAAGCCCCATGTGTCTACCAAAACACTTGTGTACAAAGGATGTATCACTTGTATTTACATATTTTTCAAAAAGCTAGAATAAATCTGTCCATCTAAAGAAGAAACAATAAAAACAGGCTTCTGTATTTTACTTTATGTTTACAAAAATCACAGTCCAAAACACTATTTACTTTTGTGGTGTCTATTTCATATTTCACAATCTTATGAAATATAAGCACGTCGATCATGAGGAAAATTTACTTAATGATTTAAAGCACAGTAATTTATTCAATAAAATATTTAAATCATTATTAAATTATACAATAAATGTGCATGTTTTTACTGTATTAAAGCAGATGCCTTCTAAATGCTACTCCTTAAAACTTTTGATGACTATGAATCAAGGAGATATTTCAAAGAAAACCTTTAAATCAGGAGAGAGAAAGCAACAGGCTTCAAACTTTATCTTCAATATATTCATGTTTGAACAGGAGTTCCCTTCCTTGCATATTTTGCATACTTCCAAATACTGTGCAAGTACTGGCACATGGTGTACCATTCAGTCACCAAGCAGCACTGGTCTGTACCATGCTACCTGCTTTTATCAACGATATGAAGTAAGAGGATCTGTATAAATATTTTCTGAAGTCAGGTTTGAACACAGGTTGCCTGAAAAATCATCGTATTTATAAGTGAGTTAAAGTAACTTAGGGAGATGAAAAATGAAGTCAAATTTGGACAGTAGAAACAAACAAACAAACAAAAGTATTTTAAAAATAGGAGGCAATAATCAGCTCAAATGTCAATTATCTCAAATTATCAAAATTAATGAAAAGACAAATATTGGGAATAAAAGTCCTGTAATCCTATCAGCAACAAGCAAGTACAAAAATACTTTAGGAGATAACTTTCCAGGACAGTTTCTTCTACAAACTAAATAAACTACACCACCAAGGAAAAACAAAAACATTTTGTTCTCCTACCATTCAGTACTTCAGTCTGTTTAAGATTTCAATTATTAAAATAGCTACACTTGTTGCTAACTAAAATAAAGCTAATGTGGTAGCCAGAACATCAAAATCAGATAATATTCTCCACTGGAAGTGATTTTTCAGGGAACACTTATTTTTTAATGACAAAGCGTTAGTTCAGATCATATGCCAAGTTATTAAAAGCTGAATGCAGGAATGAGCATTTCCTATTTTTGTTTATGCTGACAGAGGCTACAAAAATGCAATACAAAATACATTACCAAGTATGGGGAATAAAAAACTCCACATGTTCCTAGTGGGAGACCGCAGGAGAATGGAGAAATGCCCAAAACGAGAAAAACAGAGCCTGTCTAATAAACACAGGGCTCAGAAACAAATTGAGCCCTGTAATGAATTTCTCCTGATGTGCAGTGTGGCTTTGCCAGTGTTGTAATGGCTCCATCGCATGGTCAGATGTAGAGTGACACTCTGATATGCACTAATAAGGCTGTACAACTATAACTTTCCCCTTCATAGAAACTGGTGTGCTTCCTGACTATGGAAGGGAATGGCAAAGATGCCACAGCACAGCACTTGGGGTAATTCTGATCTAAATACTGCAACACCAGCCTGTGGCCTGGCATCATAAAAACCTCGTGAGTAGTATGGCTGGGAAGCAATTGAAACTAAGCTGTGTCCATACAGACAGACCAGACCTTTCCAGCACAATAAACGAAGAGGTGGCTTGAGTTTCTCTGGATGCTCAGTCACATTTTAAATTATAAAGATGCTGAAACAGGATATGCCTTTACCTGCCTGTCATGTCTGTTTGCATCAATGCTGAAGTATGGGCACTTTGGCCTTCTTTTTATGCAGCTTTTGATTATCTTGCACATCAGATGGGTGCTCACCTGTGCAGTCTGTTTTGCATCTCCAAGGATTACCTGTACTAGGCATGAAGCAGTGTAACCCACCTTTTCCCCCTCAGAAATTTTCCTATACAGGTTCAGGTCTGTGACAGACCAATCTCTCTGTACAGGAGCACACAATGGATGAAGGAGCAAGCACAAGTGACAGCTAAGTGCTTCTGCTCAGTGCCACATCCTCAGGCTTCTGACTCTGCCCTGGGTAAAGCAAGTAGTGGGACTTTCAATCCAACTACAAATGACCCAGCTGGGTACTGCGAAGTCTGCAACAGTGATAAATAGTGGACTGAGAAAAAGGGACAGCACTAGCAAGGTAGCTTACTGAATGTGTCTGCATCCCACGTCTTTAGGAAAGCTGAGAAAGCCCAGTACTGTGCCCCAGAGCTGAGACAAGACCTTGGTCAGTCAATGGCAGCTGAGTTCAGAAGCTCATGAAATGTGCAGTTAGATCCATCTGAAACAAGCTGGCAATCCTGTAGAAGGCCACAATATAAATGCCTAGGGGGGTAGGAGCAGATCATTTTAGGCAGAAGAAAGATCAAACGATATCGAACAGCCAGACCATACAGTCAATAGCTGAGTGCTTTTAATGAAAATCAACACTTGTGATCAAGTCCCTAATGAACTTTGAGATGCTCTAACACCCTTCCTTTATAGAATAAGCTTTTTCTGTCACAGATGCCTTATTTTATTCTGTAATGCAGCTGTGTAAAAATAGCACCTTCTTATTCAACACATTTGCTTTCTATCAGAGTCCTATCTGCTGACTTAATGGAAACAATAAACTTTTTTTATTGCTTTATAATCCTTCAGGGAAGATGTGCTAGATTCCATTTACAATTATTCATCAGACAGAGCTGATTACTAAAGCCTAGGGAAGAGCCAAATTCTGTGCAACTTTTACCTGCAATACTATGGTTGAGCAGGTGTACCTGAGTGTGTCAACACACACACACCATGGTGCATTAAGCTGGAATAGACGAGGTAGGTGCTGGTCCCAGCTGCCTACATGGCCCCTCTCCCAGTGGTGGTGACAACTGCGAGGGCTGACTGGTCTGTGAATTAAATCCAGAACTGCTGCAGCTTACAGATTGCTAAAACAAAACAACATCAATTTGAGCTTCATCTCTTGTCACACGAACCAGTACCCAGAGGGTGCTATTTATGCTGTCCTGTCATTATTAGAGAAAATGAGCAACTCTTCCCACCATTTCCAGTTCAATGCATTAAGAAAAAAATAAGAGTATGCTCCATCTCCAGGGGATATTTAAACTACATTTACACCTGGACAATTTTAGATGCCAACAAACATTGCATTTGATATGAAAGTGTGACATCTGTAAATGAATGGCCTATAATATCTCTATTGTAATAATGTGCATTGTATGCAAGGAAATTGCTTTGCAAATCTGAATTATGGAATTTTTAACTTCCGATTGCAACCTCATTGTTATATTAACTGTCATTAATACAGGATTAAAGACTATCAGGAAAAAAATCAATGAAAGTAAAGAGGCTAAGGGCCAAACAATGAAGATTTTCATGAAGAAAAGCTATCAAAATGAAAAATATAGATTATTGGGGGAACCTTATAAAAATTTGTCAGGATACTAGGTAACACTATGTACCTACAGATACAGCAGAATTTTCCTACATGTAATTTAATCAGTGAACAGAACTGAGCTACTACAGAAAGTTGAACATGCACAAGGGGGCAGTGTTTTTTAATGCTTTAATACACTTAATACGTTTAAGATATATATTTTCCCTCAGAGCTGTGGGCTTCAATACCATGACTTTAAGCTTGCTAACAGTAAGCTTGTTGCTTCTGATCACCCTTTCACCCTTTTTGCATCTCTGAGATATGCCCTTGAGCAATCCTAACTACGCAAAAGTGGCTTCTGACAAATGCTAAAACGTTATTTTAAAAATGTTGGAATATTTATAGAGGAGATGCAATTTCCATATCAAAACAACCTAATTTGACTTCATGGCTTAAAAGCACCTAATGTTTTAACTTGTGTAGAGCTAAAGCAAGCAAGCGATTTTATGCATGGTGAGGAATTTGTTACAGTCATCTTGCATTCTGAACACATGTACAAGCAGTACAAACAACAGGTCCTAGGGGCATTGCTGTAACACATCTCCATGTGTGCAAGTTCTTGAGTTTCTATGTGACCTCAAAGGGATTCTCTACAGTCTTTCAAACTACTCCTACAGAAAGCAATTTTGATTTTCTCTGCTGCTGTCACTAGATATAGTCAGTGCTTCTTGTGCATTTTTTTCATTGAAGTTAGAGACTTCCTCTGAAATTTCCCATGTTTAGACCAGTCTGCACTGCACTGCATGGTGCTGTTGCTCTGTCACAGCAGAATGTGAACAAAACACATTCCAAATTAATAGAGCTATTATTCACATAGGTTGGAATGGATCTTTGGAAGTCATTTGGTCCAACTCTCTGCTCACAGCAGACCTAACTTCAAAGTTAGAACAGGTTCCTCAGGGCCCATCCAGATGAGTTTTTAAAATATCCAATGATGGAGATCTTACAACCTCTCTAGTCAATCCGTTCCAGTGTCTGACCTCCTTCACTGTCACATTTTTTCTGTCTATGCTGACTGTTACCTCTTTTCATTTCTCTGGACATGTCTGGTTCTGTCTTCCTTTTAATCCTCCTTTAGTAGCAGCAGACTGCAACTAGATACCTTCCTCAGCCTCCTCTTCTCCAGGGTGAACATGCCCCGCTCCCTCAGCCTCTCTTTGTATGCCACATGTGTTAGTTCCCAATCACCTTCGTGCCCCGCCACTGGATCCTCTTCTGTTTGATAATGTTCCTCACAGCTTGGGGCCTCAAAGGAGGACACGATGTTCCAGATGTGACTTCCTGAGCACTGAGCAGGCCATGCTTTTGCTAACACAGTGCAGTATGTTCCCATGCCTACTGCTGACTCACATCCAACATGGTGTTCTCTAGGACCCCTAAAACATGTCTCTGTAGTGCACCTTCTTACTTAGTTGTCCCAGTCCCTGCTGTTTCCATATGTAGTCTGTTCTGTGTACAGGACTCTACATTTTTCTTTGCTGAACTTCATGAGATTCCTGTCACCACTACTCCCAGTGTACTGTGATCAAAGAACCTGCGGAGGGCACATTTTGTTGCACTGTCTGGGTTGTTGATGAAGATGTTAAATAGAATTAGCCTCAGCAACGACACCTGAGGAACACCACTTGTAAATAACTACCAGTCAGACTTTGAACCACTGACACTTTGAGCGTATCTTCCCAGCCAGACCACGAGGATGCCATGGAAGTATTAAAATGAGTCCAGAGGAGGGCCACAAAGATGATCAGGGGGCTGGAGCAGACAGGCTGAGGGAGTCGGGGTTGTTCAGCCTGCAGAAGAGAAGGCTGCAGAGAGACCTTATAGCGGCCTTCCAGTACCTAAGGGGGAACTATGGGAAAGCTGGGGAGGGGCTCTTTGTCAGGGAGTGTAGTGAGTACAATAGGGAGCAGCCCGCAATCACAGAATCACACAGAATCACAGAATTTCTAGGTTGGAAGAGACCTCAAGATCATCAAGTCCAACCTCTGACCTAACACTAACAGTCCTCCACTAAACCATACCCCTAAGCTCTACATCTAAACGTAGGTCTAAACGTACATCTAAATTATCTAATAATCTTAAATAGCTTAAAAACAAGATGTATGTATTTTAAGCTTCCAGTAAGATAAAATGCAGGTTTGGTCAATGGTGAAGGCCAGCTCCTTCAGCACCCCCCGATGCATCCCATTTGGTCCCATGAACCTGTAGGTGTCTGATTTCCTTAACTGATCCCTAACTCAATCCTACCCTACTTTGGGAAGTATCCCTCTCCCCCAAACTCTCCTACTAAGCACAGACATTGACAACAAAAGCTTTGGCAATAATTATCCTTCATTTCTAGGCTATTTGTCTGATTTTGTATCAGGCTGACATTTTCCTTGATGTTCCTGTCAATGTTTCTGCTGAAGTCCTTGTTACTGCCTTCACCTTCTTCAGGAGTTTCAATTCTAGATGAGCTTTGGCTTATCCTAATTGCACCCTGCTTACCCAGCCAATGCTTCTGCATTTTTCCAGGGGTAGCCTATTCCTACTTCCACTCTCTGTGTATTTTTTTAGTGCTTGAGGTCACTCAGGAAGCACCTTATCAGCCAAGCTGTCCTCTTTCCAATCTTCTTAGTTTTTTTTGCACACCAGAGTGGAGGACCACTTACTTTGCAAGCAAATCTCCCCTTCCTTGTGGTCTCAGTTTACAGTAACAGTACTTCAGCCACCACAGTTAATGTTGTTTAGGGAGGTAGAAGAATTTGACTAGCAGAACTCTTTTTGCTGCTGTGTTACAACTCCACTAGATGGCTGACAGATCAGCATTGTAAAGCACTTTGTAGCACTGTCAAGCCTGAAATTGCTTGCAAGAAAAAGCTCTGAATATCTCTTCTAAAAGAAATAGTGCCTATGACAGAAAGGATCAGCTTTCAGGGGCCCATTCTGTCAAGGAAGGAGCAGTCTTCCTGCTGCAGCTAAGCAAGCTGGAGGCAACAGGGTGAACCACAGGTACAGAAATCATCCACAATTTCAAATACATCTGCACTGTAAATTATTTTGCATGCAAGAACGAGTAATGAAAACAGAATTACCTCTTTTCATCAAATGATTATGAAATAACTCAGGGAAATATTCCACTGGCCCCATTACCTACTCCATCCTTTTCTGGCATACGGCTACTTAAATTCAAGTATTGTAGCAAAACCACTACATTTAAGAGAGTTCAATGTCATGTATGTAGGTTTTACATCAAGTTTGGGGAATAAAGAATGAATGCAGAGGAGTTGCCAGCTGAGAAATTACCTAAGCAGTTATTGTTACGGGATCACTCGTTCTGACTTAATGTATTCAAACATCTCTGCTGATGGGAGAACAGGACAGAATACAGGTGAATGTTTCACTGTTCTGCCACTAGCATCCTCTCAGTAGAGGCATTCCTGGGATGGCATTTTAAGGTACAAAAGGGCAGAATTTCAGTGGAAATTGGGTCATCAAGTTGGGAACCTGACAGAACAAAGAATAGAACAACAAATGACTCACCTTCCTGCCTCAAGCTTTACTCCTAACCAAAACAAGGGATAATGAACTGGGCTACAACAGCATCAGTAACAAGAGTAGTTAAAAGTTATTAAATGAAAGTAATTGAATAAAAATAAATTAACAGCAGAAAAAAATATGTTGCTTTTGATTACCAAAAGACATATTTTGTACTGTTCAGCTCCAAAACTGCAATGAATTACAGGAGTGCTTAGTTTTATACATCTACTTGGTTCCACTGGAATTAACGGTATTAGTGTGCAGGAGGTAAAATAATTTGAAATAACAGCATTACTCAGAATGCCTGAAGTTACTCGTTTATGTAACCTTTTACAGGCTGAAAATCTACAGCAACGTTTTAGCACTTGCTCTGAGCCAGTTAATACCCATGTAGTAAATAAACACGCTATCTATGCATACATACAGAAAATGTAACAGACTGTAAGAAAACAAGTATTTAGCCAAGACTGATGAAAAATTCAGACCTATACGTTCTATTATCATAACAATGTTCAATAACATTCCTGCTAGACAAATGAAATCTGAAAGATTTTTTAGAAATATGTAAGGCTTACTTGTGTTTGGTCATCTTCAGGTCATGGCAAAAATGGCTGAAAAACCTAGCATAGAATAAGTGCATAACTGCGTGCTCCTTTCCTCCAATGTACAAATCCACAGGCATCCAGTAGTTAGCCAAGTCACTATTAAAGGGCCTGAAAAAAAAAAAATAGGAAACATACAATGTGAAGAAGAAAGATCAGCTCTTCTAATGTAGCTCATCATATCTGACTCGGCAAGACTATTTAATGAGAGCTACAAATATACAATAAAACTTTAATTTTGCTATCAGATCTTTCATTTTTTTTAAGAAGTGGTAAGCTTTTTGAATCATATAGAAAAAAAATTAATCTCCACTTAAAAACAGCTCAACAAAAATGTTATTTTCATATATTTTAGATGTTCAACTAAGATTTCACGCATCACCTCAGAAAGTGATGAAAGTATTATATTCTATAGAATTTTTTTCATAAACACCCTGTGGCTAGCCTTTAGATTTTTTACTGTTTACCAATACCAAGTTTTACATGAAAATATACTACCATATACTCAAAAGACATGTCCAATTAAAAACAGTTGCTTTTTTTTAATCGAAGGTTTGCATTGTTGCCATTAGAGGGCAATGTAACAGCTTATAGTGCTGCAAAACGTTCTGAAGAGTCAGATAGGTCATCGTCCTCAACTGGAGGATGCTCTGTGAATTTACAGTAAATGTTGGTGGTACTTTATAGTATATTTTCTACATTATTTGAGGCCACTCTGCATCGTTTCTTAGCATTGCTTGCTGCTTCGTTAATATATGTGTATGTCTGCTGTAATGGGCTCCTACTTGCATGTATGTTCTTTGCTGTATGCTTTATAGCACCATTATAACAAATTTGTTTGTTTGTCAGCTTATTAAATTATTCCATCTGTAACTTTTTTTTTTTTTGTAATAGCAACACCTTTTTTCCTCACTGATCACCCCAGAAGCAAATCATGGATGTGACATTCATTTCTTTAGTGGAACAATTCAAAACTTACCGCTCTTCACAGAGTTCCAAGATCAACAGAGTAATTCTCCCAAACTCTGGGTTTATGAAATGACTTACAGAAATAAAGGTTTGAGTATATGTAGCTCAGAAATTAACAAATATATAAAATGGAAATAGAGATCTAGTACAGAAATCCATACAAATGCTTTTATTTCAATATAAAACATATTCAGCTACACTAAGCGGTTACTTTGACAGATGGATGTTGCATATGACTCTTTCATCTTCATCAGGAAAAGTCCCTCTTAATATTTCAAATTGTGACCGGAGAGAAAGCAATCCATGTCACTTAAATAATATTATTAACAATGAATTCACACTGTCACTAGAAAATAACTAATGCGAAACAGAAGTGTTCACAGAAGAGTTTTCTTTAGTTTAACTGATGGATTACCTGGATGTGTGCTGCCAATATAAAAAAATAACTGGTCCAGCTATACTTAAATCACTTGGTATGTAGTATGCACCCAGACATTGTTCAGGGCAATAAGTAAATAAATAATCAACCCCCAAATATCCTTATATGCGGTATCAATATCAAAAATGCAACTCTTTTTTATCTTAATTACTGTACATAGTAGTACTATTCCACTAAATCCTCTTTGTAAAAGGGAGCAAGAAAAAATAATTGTGTATTTTACCCATATCTCACATAAAATCAAGCAGCCGAAACAGACACCTGAATGGCATTCTTGATGTGACCTTCTCAAAGCATGCGTGCTCCATATACATGAAGACACTTTACACAGACATCGAGAATACTAAAATGGAAATGTCAATAAGAAAAACAAAATACATCCCACCAGACTCATTCACCAACATGAAGCTCATTATCTCCCATAAGTTATCAGGATGACAGAAGCCATTTCCTGGACATTTTCCGTTTATCTGTGCAATAACTGACTGACATGAAAAATATTCCGCAAATTTGCTGCCATCATACTGTCCTCCAGAATGGCTCTCAAAATATTCAAGAAATGGTAATGGCCAGCCATCCAGTGACTGTAGGTGGCAATCTAATTTGGCCAGTGCATGTGAAATGCTTTTGGACAGCTGAGTCAGTCTCTGCAGGCTGATTTAATGCTGGTGTGACAACACCTCCAGGCACTATCAGCAGTGCTAATACAGGCAGACTACGATGCAGATAAACGGCTAAGTAACTACATCTATCTTTCCATACTCCTCGTACTACATCCACTAACACACAACCCATGAAAAATCTCTTTTTATTAATTACTAATTTAGTCAAAGTAATAATACACAGCGGAAGCTTGCTCTGATACCACTTCACTTTGTGTTTGTGCATGACGAAGTAGCCAGAGTTACTGGAACTCTGAAGAAAAGAAATTAAGGTGTAATTCTTCACAGCTGGACGTTACACCATACTATTCCTTCTCTTCCCAGTGGAAAAGTGCTATCTGTCTACACATCAAAATACTCAGTATATTACCAAGGAAGGTATGCTCAAAGCAAATTACCACAATCTCAGAGAGAGTCATGGTAGGCTGTCATTCTTGACAGCATCCTTCACTAACAACTATCTTTAGCTTCTCAGCTGAACATTTCCACTATGCCCCGGCCTTATAATGCCCTTTCATGCAAACTCTGCCCCTTCCCTTGTAGCTCCTGCACTTACACAACACTGTCTACATGTACTGCTCTTGTGCATTTCCTGGCATGGGAACAACCAAATGCCACAATTTTGGAGCAATTCCTAGTCAGCCCTGTGCAGCTCTCAGGCATAGGGCAGACACAAAATCAAGTTAGCACATGGGTTTAAACTGGCTTCTGCAAAAGCAGTTAAGCATATCTGGCCTCTGTCCTCCTCCTTTCTTCCGTTCTACTCTGTAAAGTTGGCTTGCCCACCAGATGGCCCTGCATCTGGACCTTACCTGTCAGTGTTGTGAGGGTCAGTGTATCTCAGGTAATACCAAGCAGAATCAACAAATGTATCCATGGTATCAATTTCTCGCCTTGCTGCTGACTTACACCTGAGCCAGAGAGACACATAAGAACTATTTTTAGGTAGGTGACAAGCTTGGCAAAAAGAATAAACATGTACAGAGCGGCCATGAAGAAATTTAGATTTAAAACTGAAAGAGTCTGAACAGCTTGAAGAGTGATATGTTCAGAAAAAGTCCAGTGTGAGTAATAGCACCAACTCTCCTTTCTCCTCTATCCTAAACGAAACAAAATACAAACCAAAAAAGAGTCAGAACATCCATAATATAAAGCAATAGCAGAAGACTACACAGTACAAGACAGCCTTCTCAATCACATGTTCCTGGATTTTTTTAGACATGTCATTAAAAAAAAAAAAGACTAAGCAAGCTTTAGAGCATAGACAAGCATTCTTTGCCTTAAAGTTAGTGAGTACTGTATATATATCACACTTGCCAGGTACCAGCAAACAAATCATTTTATAAACACTCAACAGAAGGAGCAGGTGTTTGCCTCTCACTGATTGTTTTTACAAAAATGTCTTTTCAGATTCCACTTATAATCTCTACGAAAAAAATGAACTTAGTTCAGTTTCGACTTTCACTGAGATGTATCAAATCTCTTCTAAAACTTGCAGCACAATTTTAATTTGTAATTACTGAGAATTGATTTTTTTGCTAGGAGTTACACTGGCAGCACTGAGAAATAGTTTTAAATGACATTTTAGAAGCTCGGGTTATTTTCCTCTAATTTCTCCCAAACAAATTATTTATTTGTAGGAGTCGATAATTGCATTTAATAAATTTCCATTTGTTGCAATAGATCTCTCTTCAAAACCTTTACTGCAAAAACAATGCAATTTCTCTAAAGTAAGACTTTGCAACCTGTCACAAGCTTGTGTATAATATATGTAGTATCACCAGCTGTGTGTAACAAATGGACACAACTTATAAATGCATGCAAAGTTACATGCAGTAAATACATGTATGTATGCATGTAATGAATTTACTTAATAAATGGGCCTTTGCTATTTAATTTTTTCCAGCTGCATTTGTAGTCTGTGCTCAAGCTTGATGGTTGAGCTGCAACATGTACCTGCCTGTCTGCCTGATGCTTCAGCTTGGCTTGCCAAGGCAAGTTGATGAGAATATCACAGGTTTAGCATTTGCCTTCACTCTGTCTCTGCCCCACATCCATCTCCAGCAGCAAGCTTTTCTTTCAACGGGAATAATGTAGCAAAGGAATTTTACTTCTTTGTATTTGTTTTGTTTTGAATACAGAATAACCGTGTAAGTTTCACATATAAGCAGACTTGGCCAAAATTAAACTGCATTATACAGAAACAGTGAAAAGCAAGAATACTTTATAGTCATTGAACCATAATTATATCTGCTTCGTGCCTCTGCTGTTGCTTGTGCTCTAAATGGACATGGCTCACTAACACAGAGACAGCATGGACATCTTTCAGAATTTATATAACAGGCACAATACTGTAATTTGATTAGACGATATTCAGACAACTAACACAATTACCTGAACTTGTATAACAATGAATAACTTAGGCATTTATGATTGCTAACATTATTGTAGCTCAAATCTGAGTACTCACAGACCTTCATATCTTTCCATCTTGCTTTCCTTATTAATTCTAGATATTAAATGCAACTAATGAAAAAAAAAACTCATTATGAGAGAGAAGGACTAAAGGAAGGGATGACATAACTTCTCAGAGCAAGGAAAAACGGGGGTAGGAAGACTATGCACACAAAGGCAATAGCTCAAAGGATTTGAAATTGTAGCAGACATATGGATGATCAATACTGAAGACAGCTATCATTGAAGTGAAATAAAAAAGCCAAATAAATGTGATTATAATAATAAAAAAGTTATTTTCAGCAAACTCTCATGTTCTAAGCTAAGAAATGATCCTGTATCCATTATTTCTGATTAAACAAATGCCCTTGGTAACCTTAAAGTATGGCAGCCACAATAACTATACAGAAACAGTAAGGATTTGCTACATATCAAAAGCACTTTGTTGCACAGTAAGCAATAAAATTATTTCTGAATTAATGTTAGAAAGAAGCCAGGATTGTAGACAGTAGCTTTCAATAAAATCAGAAAAAAAATCAGTTAAAATTAGCAATTTTAGACCAGAGCATTCCTGGGGCCTTTACTAAACCTGAAGATCTTAGCAAGAATCACACTTTAAAATATGTAACTACATGTAATTTAAATAGGCATATCTGAGAAGAAATCTTCTAGGCAGATACATGAAAGTAAACGTGCGTTTTATTTAAAATACATGTTACCAACAAAGATCAAAATACATGTTTCCAGAGAACCACAGAACTGCTTTGCCTGAACTACCTAATTAGAAATGAAAACCACAGCGATGTTCTATCCTGGAAATGTTAAAATAAAGTGGCTTGTTACAAAACTGCTGCATTGTCAATGAGAGCCCTACGTCCATTTATATGTCTGGTTCTCTTGCCTGGCAGCCTGACAACGTACCTCCCATTTAGTCAGTCTGTTAGCAGCAGTATTGCATTACACTGCTGATGAAAAACTTCTCTGGGATAACTCACGTTCTACCAGTTCCTTCTGCAGAACCTGTATGCACACTCCAGAGTGCACAGTATCAGCAGTCTCCAAGATCAGACACATGATTTTCATGACTTATCTCTTGCTACTTAATTTGAGCTGTTTCATTTCTTTAACAGCTGGGCTACTAACAATAAAGATTGCAACACTGACAAGATGCATATACTTACTATCTCATTCTATCTGAACTATAATGCTGCCATCTGTAATGTACAGTGAATGTGATTCTTCAGGATAAAGAATAATATAGCTGAGGCAACACTTTATTGTTGGACTATTGTTAAGAAAATGAACACGATATTAGTTTCCTTACTAAAAGGAAATATTTCAATAAACATCATAAGCTTTGTATGAACACTGCTGGTGAAAAGTAATGAAAATTCTTGCAGTAAATAAAGTGAAAAACACAGTTAAGAAAGGGAGGGCAGTGAGGAGATAATTCTGTTTTCCTGTTTTCATTCCTCCAACTTCAGATCAATGAGGTTTGCTTCAGCTTGTTTATGAAGCAGCAGCAGTGGGTGGCTGTATTGCAAATAAGGAGTTTTACAGAGTACAGAATGAAAAAAAAACTACACCCCTTACACTGGGTCAGACTAAATATCCTGCTGGATTAGTGTCCTGTCTCAGAGTGGTCAGCTGTCAGTGCTTAAGGAAAGAGCACACAAAACATGCAAGTACAAAAGTGATCTCTCTCATCCATGCAGTAAATGCTTCATTTTCTTACCTTGGACAGGCACAGTTCACCCATTCTGGAACAGTTTCTAAAGGTGAAGCTCCCTTCCCTGTGAAAGTGGTTACACTGGGCAGCACCACAGGTAAATCTTCATAAGGCACAGGAACAGTGCCACACGTCTGACAGTGAATGACAGGAATAGGTGTTCCCCAGTACCGCTGTCGAGATATTAACCAGTCTCTTAATTTGTCACTTGTTAGGTCTCCACCTATTCCTTTATTTTTGGCTTGCTGGGTAAGAGCTTTTAAAGCCTCCTGCCGAGTCATGCCTGTGAACTGATTAGAAAAAAGAGAAGCAGAAGAAAGAAAAATTCATACTTTCTATCAGGGAAAATGCAAGAACACACAAAAATTTACAAATGCAATTTCAGAGAGACAAAGTTTAGGAGCCTCACATAATCTTCCCCTTCCATTTCTTAACATCTTCCTACCCAAGAGGCTATTCACATACCAGTTACTTGATTCATTTAAACCCTCTTGTTCAAACAACAATGTTCTTGATGACCCAAAAAGAAATACGCTGAGAAAGAGCTCTGTAGACCCCTTCAGCCTTTGTTGCCTGCTATTTGTATTTTCTGCTGATATCTTAATCAACAGCTCTATGCTGAAACTTCCAGAATTTCACCAACAAAAGGTGGAGACTGAGAAATGTGAACGGTAAACCATCTTTTTTCTCTTGTATTCATTTTGGGTTATTCTGTTTTTTTTGCTTTCACATACATCTTAACCATTTAGACCCTACATTTCATGTAAGAGTAGACACAAAGGTCATATTCTACCAAATGCATCTTTTCAAGAGCTGTAACACCATATACACTTGATTTAAAAATAAGATTCCCATGTCACTTCATGCAGAAGTGCTACCAGAAAGCTTACATCACATTTCAATTAATATATAGAAAAATGTTTAGCTTAAAAATGTATTCTGATGATGAAAAATAAGAACCAGCTTTTCACATGCGATCAATTATTCAGTTTCTAGTATAAAACTGAGACCAGTTTCTAGTATAAAACTGAGGTAATTCTTCTGCTCTACTCTGCTCTTGTGAGAGCCCACCTGGTGCACTGCGTTCAGCTCTGGGGATTCCCCCAATAAGAAGAACATGGACCTGTTGGCCCAGAGGAGGGCTATGTGGGTGATCAGAGGGCACCCCTCCTAGGAAAAGAGGCTGGGAGAGTTGGGGTTGTTCAAGCTGGGGAAGAGAAGGCTGCAGGGAGACCTTATAGCAGCCTTCTGGTACCTAAAGGGGGACTACAGGAAAGCTGAAGAGAGATTCTTTATCAGAGTGTAGTGATAGGACAAGCGGTAATGGCTTTACTGCTAAAAAAGGGGTAGATTTATTTTAGATATTCAGAAGAAATTCTTCACTGTGAGGGTGGTGAGGCACTGGCACAGGCTGCCCAGAGAAGCTGTGGATGCCCCATCCCTGGAGGTGTTCAAGGCCAGGCTGGATGAGGCTTTGGGCAACCTGGTCCTGTGGGAGGTGTCCCTGCCCATGGCAGGGTCGTTGGAACTAGGTGATATTTATGGAGTTTTCCAACTCAAGCCATTCTGTGATTCTGTGCTTTTACGATTAAATTCCTCTCAAAAATTTGGTTGCATACACTCAGTTTGAGTCTTAAAAATATAAAAAAAATAAAAAAATAAAATCCCTTTAATCAGGCAAAGTATTTGGGATGCTCAAGAAAACAGCTTACATTGTTACTGTAAGTTAGAAAGAACTCCATACTTGCATACCCACCTCTCCAGAATTAATGACTCTCTCCAGACCATTTGGCAATTTTTCAATGACTTCAGTGAAAGAAATGCCCAGATTCTTAGCTATTGCAGCATCTTCTGCACTAGTACTTGGAATTCCTAGGGAAAAAAAAATATCTGGTATTGACTAACATGGATATCAATCATCAGTTTGGGGATAAAAGTTTTTATTTCTATGAAACGCTCTTTTTAACAATTTATGTTTGTCCAAAAGGGTTTAAAAATGTAAGAAAAATAAAAAATGTTTTCCTGTTCTTTAAGCAGTGAAATTCAAGCAGCAATAATTATTGACATATTTTCTCGCTAAACCAAATGTTAATCAACGTCCTACCTCAGAGCAAGCTGAAAACGAGATGGTTTAGAAAAAGCCTAAAAATTAAGCTATACAATTTAGACAAATAATCAATTGTAAATACAATTATATTAACTATATATAACATAAATACATATATAAGTAATAAAAAATAAATGTGATTTGCTAACATGACAAAAATATGAAACAGGTTATACAGTCTTCTTGTTTCAACAGTACATTTAATCCTTCTGCTTTCATAGCTTATTAAAATGTACCATAATTCAATAGTCCCCAACATTACTATCCTTTAACTTATTACGAAAGACATGATTTGTTTATCTCAGGGAAACAATTTGAGTAACATCAGTTTTCTATTCAGAATATATCTAGTGAGAGCACTTATGACCATTGTTAAAGTAATTCCTAGAAGTCCCAGTATTTAAGGCCCATGGTGCAATCTTCCCTTTCCATCTTCTTATTCAGGGGACAGTCTTACAATTTGAACACAAGTTTCTCTAACTCATATAAAACTTCTTATTATAGCAATTTACCAGCATCACAAAATGACACGTTATCTTTAAGTATTTCTCATTCATATTGATAGATAGTGATGTTTTCCCTCTGATTTTGCTGCATGTATTTTAAAAGACAAGTTTTTGCTGATTTGGAGGGCTACCTTCCATGGCGTGTTAAGAAATTTCTTAACTTTATTATCTCTGTGTTATTTCTGAATAAATCTGTTAGTATCAGATGTACTATTTCCACACTGAGATACATCCTACTGCATATTTTTTCCTCTTGGTGATAATTTCTTTAATATTTAATATGAACAATCTTGCACAATTACTGTCATCTTTAAAAGGTAAAGCAGCTTATTCTAAAAAATTTGATGCAAACATCAGGTTGGTGAAAACTGTAATAACTCTCAAAATATTGCTAAGCACATTCAAATTATTAATACACAAACTACTTTATTCAAAACCAGCTTAACAAACATATTTGATCAAGCAGTGAATTGCCTGCTACGGTAAATACATAAACTCTAGTCAATACATGGAAATTCAGAAGCAGAAAACTAAAGAAAACCAAGCAAAACTCCCCTGTGACAAGTAACTTCCTAACAACAAAACACAAAATCACTATTTAATCTTTTCAGCAGATGTAAGCTCTTACAATTTAAGGGCTCAATTATAGCGTGAAGTCTGAATCTTAATTTGTCAAAGAGCCCTGCAGTCTACAACAGGTGTCTTCACAATATGTTCTACAAATGGAAAAAAGAGTACCCCACTTTTTGGTCTTCCTTCTGTTGAAAAGATGATTCTATAAAGCACTTTCCCAAAGCTCAACAGCTGGCATCCAGAACTTCCTGGGAAGATCTGGGATACTTCCAACAGACATAAGGCCAAGGTACATGTCAGTTAACAAGCTGGAAGCTTTTAATGAAAAATAAGATTAGGTATCTCAATTATTTGGCTTCTCTTACGCAAGGGGAGGTTCTGGTTTTCAAAAACAGATTCACTTCTAAAGTGTAAGATGTGGGCATGTAATAAGGAAGGTATACAGCCTAAGTGGATAATTTCAATCAGCCTTATGAGGGTCATCCAAGATACTTTTGCAAAATGTTCTCAGTAAAAGCAGCATTTAGTAGCATGGCACAGCCACCTAAGTAGTTCTCCACAGTCAGCTAGTTTTATTCAGTTCGGTTGCTATGCAGGAAAAGCCACCACATAGGCAGTGGTGTAGAGGATGTCTTAGCAGCTGCAGAGAAGGAAAGAAGTAACAGCAAAAGGGAGAAAACAAATGGAAGTTAAGGAATAAGGAAGGTAGTGCAATGGCAGTGTGTGTGTGTGTGTGTGTGTGTTAAGAGGTATGAAAGAACCATATCCCATTAGTACCGGCACAGAACGTTGCCTGTTTATTTCAGCTAAGATGAAACCACAGCAAAAACTAACAGTAAACAAGACGCTTGGTGTGCACTATTGATGAAGATAAACCTTGCAGAAAAAAGATGGACGTAACTATTAAAAGTTAGTGTAATTTCAAGTTTTTATTTAGAAGGACTGCCTCATCATGTATGTACCTACCTGCCCAGGTAGAAGCGCTAGGCTCCCTGTGCAGGAAAGGAGCAAGATAGGCTGCTTCATGGGACAGCTTTGAGAACAGAAACCCATTTCAGATGATTCAGATTATCCACTAGCAACGTCCTTCCCCCTCTGTTTATGGAACCTCCTCAATCCTAAATTAGGGGCCTAAACTTATTACTTAAACTTAATACTTTCTTTAGAGCTAAAGAGTGTATGACAACTGTCCAAGACTACCTGAACAGTTACTGCCTACTCTGAATTAGTTTCCTGATCTCAACACAAATATTATCAGGTAAAAGTCAAACTTGGAAATTTTGGATCTTTACTGGGGGAAACCTAAACCTGTCTGAAACATTTCTCTATAACTATGCACATCATCTATTTAAGCATATAAAAAAAAAGTCAGTTATTTGCAAAATGTTTTTGTCAAACAATGGTACAGTTCTGTTTTGATTAAGGATGGTAAGAGCCAAATACGCATGCATTGTAGATAATCAATCCTCTTGAGATATGCAGATCCTCAAATTTAGCTCATTAAATGAACTAATTTTATAATATTTCCATTAAAATGCATCATCCTGTAAATCTCTCCCCCAGACAGATTCTACATTGCTACTTTTCCTTTCCTTCTTCATTAATGAAGAACAGTAATGAAGAACAGAGTTCCAAAGTCCAGAAGAGAACTGCGATGATCAAAGATTTATCACAAAAGTATCTGGTGCTCCAACACAGCAGCTGAAAACTATACTACTCTACTTACACAATAACTGTCACATACCTATTTTAGTGTCAAGAAAATTCTCAAAACTTGTTGCTGAGATTACTACAGGAATCTCTTGATTGGTAAGCAAATTCACAGCTGTCACTGAAGTGAGTGAGTCTGAAAACAAATGATCACAATAAGTAAAATATGTCAGAAGATATGATAAGAACATTACTTACTGTTAAAACTCAGTTCATCTTATACATTAAATTTACATTAAAATTTTGTTTAAATAAGAAAGATAATAAAAAATGTAATCTCACTTCTAAAAAGTACACAGATATTAAAATCCTCTCTAAGTCGGATGTTACTGATAAATTTTCATGATTAGAAAACATTTTTATAGCAAACACTTGTATAAAACCTGAGGAAGATGTGGACTACAATAAAAAAAAAAGAATCCTTGATCAAAATGCAGGCTTGCTGCAAAGTTATACGGATTGACTCTCATACACGCTCACAGACATTACAAAATTAAGCAGAACATTCAGTTATTCAGATGAATCTGAAGGGGAGCATATATACTATGCTTATGACTTGCTTTCTTACAGACAGACTACGCATCACTGACCAACGTAAAAATAAATTCTAAATAACCAAACAGAATATTCATGTTGATATTAGAGATTGGCCTACAGAAAATATCTTGGAACCAAATGTCCACAGGAAAGGGGAGTCAGAGGAAGAAAATCAAGGATGAGGACTGTGATAAACTGAAATTGACTTACACTGTGTTACTTCAGTGTCCTGGTAAGAAGAAAATCTAACTGGTACATCCCGAGTTTTGAAGATTCAAAATCCAGGATCTCAATTTGGACCTGTTTCTTGATATTATTTTTAGTGCTTTTAAAGCTAAAAGCAGCTTCCAAACTACTACGTAAAGAGATGATGCTTTTGAAACTCAGTCATGTGCATTAACACTGCACATCATGCCATGCAGCAGTAAGGAAAGCAAACTTATTTAGTCAAAGGTTCTGCAGTACAAGGCCTGCCCATGACAAATAGGATCCTGGGACCTTTAGTGGTCAGTGAAAGTATAAAGGCCTCCATTTTTAAGACCTATTTTTAGAGACTCTCATACAATAGATGAAATTTATTCTTATTTTGCACGGATGAGGTACCAAATCAGTGTTTCAGGAATATGACTCTCCATATGATAATTATAATACAGACCACTGAGAGTTCCCTTTCGCCCACCTTTGTGGAAAGCTGTGGAGAGTCTGAGGCTTACATAAAGTCTGCCTTAAATAAAATAACATCATTCTACAGTACAGGGCTACTTTATCTCATCAGCCTTTTTAAAACTAACTATATAATTATTTACCTTACTACTTTTTCAAATTTCAGGTCTCTGAGATATACATATTCTAGAGAAAATTTCTCCTGTTCAAACCACTGCACTTAGCTTTCCTCCTCTGTTTAAAAAAAGGTACAAAATGAATAATCTCACTTTTTAAAAGCAACTAAGAAAAACGCCTTGTGAACAGGAAGCAGAGTGGGTAGGGCAGACAGTTTTTAAAAATAACTTCTCTCTCCCACCCAGCAATAATTTTGATTTTATGCTGGAACTCAAAATAGTAATTCTCCAGCTTATGGAGATGCTCTTTCTTTTGCTCACATCGTTATTATAATAGCTGTAAAGAAATGATACTACAGTTACAAATGTAAAACAATGTATGTCTGGTATTATAATGAGCTAATGAACAATGTAAGGGTCAAATCTCAGACATATCATACTTAGAAGGTGACTTAGAGGAAGACTTACCAGATTCTAGATTAACATAATTTTTTCTACGCAAAAGAAAATGAATGCCTGAAAACTGGTTGCTCACTTCTATTTAAATGATAATAACTCTGATATAATATAGAAATACAGCTCTGATAAAATACAGAGCTTTACTCTAGGAGTACAGCTATAAGAACTTTAAGTTACTTTGCCATACTACATCCTTTTTTCTCCCTTGAATAGATACATACCACCTTAATTATCTAAATGAGAACACAGTGAAGAAAGAGGAGTTATAAAACTACACTGGCTGCAGAGCAAAAATAAAAATATTTTTTTATAATGTCATTGATGATTCATATTTTTTAATCTAGTTAATGATGGAAATATGGCCTATTCAAGGCCATCTTATGTTTCTTTTGACTTCAATGCCATTGTTGACCCTTACTAAATAACATAACTGAAATGCAAACCTGAACGTCCATGTAAGAATTCTTCTCTTTTATGTTTTCTTCTTTGGAAAACACCAATCTGTGTCTTTGAAATGCTCAGGGAACAGTACAAAATATCAGCCAAGTTCAACTGAAGAATGTATGTAAGTACATTTACAAGTAGCAATAGTAGATTTATGATTCTGGAACTGTTTCCACTTTAAAGCCTCTTTTTGAATGTCTTATTGCTGTCATTAATCTGAAAGTTTCTTAATGTAGCTCAACCAAAAGGTGAAGTTTACTGTTAACAGAAACCCAAAAAAAAGCCTTTCAAATATTTCCATGTAAAATTAATATAAGAAAAAAAATACTGCTGTCCACATGAAAAACAAGTTTTGCAGTTGTGTGGTTTGGCTTAAAGCACAAGGGTTCAACAAAGATACAGGCACATACATGAATGTACATGAATGTGCATTTCTGGGTCAGTGCTTTATTTTTCGAATTGTACGAATTGAAAATTTGTTCCTTTATTCCTTAATAAAAATTCTCCAAGCTTTGCTTGGCTCTGAGGCAAGGACTCTACATACTCCACACATTCAAGCTCCATTTTTCCTGCTACCAAGAAAATGTTATTAAGGTTATAGAAATGAAACACCTCAAAATAAAGCAGGTTCTTTGCAACCACAACTATTTCCCATATGATTCCTGCTTCATTTGCTGTTGACATTGGATGTTATATAGACAATGAAGCCAGACTTTTTACCACATTTTAGAAAATAATAAATATTGAACACAAACCTGAGGTGGAAACAAAACATATTCAATATACTTTGTATTTACTCTTGTGATTTTTACATTTTCCAAACAACAAAAAATGTCAGGCCAAGGATGTAGAGTACAGACAGAGTGCACAGTAGGAACCTTTAAGAAACCAATTAACGCTAATTAAAGAAAAAAAATACCACTTATTTGTATTCTCTGTACAGGCCAGGACCTACCATAAGGCTACTCTGAATTTACTCCATTAGAATCTTGTATTAAATGAGGATCTCCATGGCAGAGTATTATTTTGCTATATATTGATGATCCACTTTGCTATGTATTAATTATCTGTTGTCCTCTTTATGTCCTCTGCGAGACGAAAATGACTATTAAGTGCAAGAGCTGGTTCTACACTCTGCTAATGACAAATTACCATATAGTGGTAATGGCTATGTGGCCAATGGGCTCACATAAGTCAGAGTTGGAGTATTCATTTCTCTTATATGAGGAAACAAGAACCTGTTCCAATACTTTGATATATGTGAAGTTTTACAGCCATTATAAAAGGCAAAAATTCTAACGTAACTGCTGTAACTGTATCTGAAGCCAGGACAGGCTGGTATGATACTTTTTGACATATACAAAGGATCAAAAGGAAATGTTCCTTCTTAACAGGAACAGTTCATGCCCAGCTGGACACACATTTTCTGAAGATCATTCTCTAAAATTGATGCTCTTTTACAACAACGTGCAGAATGAGAAAAATATCACCTTTCCCTGGGATGAACTCCTCTGAAAGACTTCCTTCAGACTGCTATTCCCATGCAGCAGTCTGTGAGTTGGTAAAATACATAAATGGGAAGCTCCATAAATGGCTTCAGGCGTATAGGTGTAAGCCGCTAGCTTCTCCTCTGTTACTGCACCATTAACCTGAAAAAAAGCAGAAAATATCCCTGATTAGTTTTTTTTCCTCCATTAGAAGTGCAGTGGTTTTACATTTATTTTCCTGCTTATACAATTAACAGATCTACACCACCCTATCGACATATATAATTCTAAATATCAAAGCTGGACACATTCTCACTACAGGGAGTTTCCAGTATCAAATTTTGACAAAATTTACTTTTAAGACTTTGAGAAAGTTGCTTTATAATCTACCCAAACATAAATAAATAAAGTAAAATCATATGTAATATTTCATTGTACTACTGAGCCACATTCAATCCCTGGTTAAGTAACTCAGAATCCCTCTGTTCACTTTTAATATACAGTGCTCTGATTTCAAGGAATGGCAATAGCCAAGCCCACCTAAATCAGATGCTACCTTTAAACTCTAAAGTGAATTTTCGATTTTCTCAGCTACTGGGCTTTCTATCACACTTTTCTAATGAAATAAATGCTGCAACTTATGTACAAGAGTAAATTTGTAGAAGCTGGAAAGGGTGTCACAAGATTAAAACAACTGGACATAAAACATGAGTAATAAACACGGAGAGCTGCTTATAAAATTACTACCTGAAACTATCAATAGGCTCTATATTCGATGTCAATTAACTGTGGATTGTGTGAGGTTCTTAGAAAGAGATTCTTCTACAGCAAAACTGATACACTGTTTTCAGAAACAATTGATTAAAGCAACTTAACCTCAAAAATACATCTTATAAGCAATGTGCAATTCAGAGGTATGAAGAAAGTTCAAACTGTCTCCATTGGAGGTTCCCAGAAATCTAGCATTTTAAAATAAATCATTTTTAAAGTGTTAGACCAGAGTAAATGAAAACAATAAAACATAGAAGCAAAAGGTCTGAAATTCCATTAGGGCCTCTGAAAATCTGAAGGACTTCAGATTTTCCCACTGTTCTCTGGATAACTGCAATTTTCTAAAGGTTCCTTTTTTTATTCCACTGCTTTCTTTCTATCCAGGCTTCTCTGTAGGTCTATCACCACCTAATTTTCTTGTTTTTATCATTTTATTGTACTTAGTAAATGAGACCTAACTAAAGCGGCATGACTGATGTCAGCCTGGGTCCGATGGAGAAGGTGCTGTGCAGAGAGGAGCTAAGGCATAGCCAGAACCCAGCTGACTTGTACAGTACCACTTGATACTGCTCATGGTACTGCTTAAATATCCTGGCTTCCAGGAATGCTTATTAGCTGGCATGTATTTTTGCGCAAATACACATAGCCAACTGGCATCCAGTTTTGCACTTGGATACACAAATGCTTTCCTAAGAAGGACAGCAGGGAGTATCACCCCAACACACAAATGTTCTTCAGAAATCAATGCAGGTCCAGGCATGAACATATAACTCTAACTTTTAGTAGGTTTCATGCTTTTTAGATCTGAAAATCTGTCCCATTATGCATTTCAGGAATTGCATTTAGCCCAGCAAAGACAGCAGTGTTGAAATTTCTGACTCACCTTTAGCAAGAAGTCAAAGGAACATCCAACGCAGTCACCTATCCAATTTGCTTGCATTTCTTTTATACCGTACCATTCAGGGAGATCAGACAAAGCATCAAACATAGCCTGATGCAATAGAAGAAATAGTTAGGATGTTCAGCTTTTGTACAAATGCTTTTATACAACGCACATAAATTAAGACTATGGGTTTAATTATAACTAACAGCAAAACAATAAGGTGTTGGTCAAAGATAGGAAGAAGTATTTTTATACTGCTGCTGCTTCAAATTCATCCTTGAAAATAAAATCATCTTTGAGAATAAAATTAACATGGCACAAGAGAGAGGTACAATGTCTTCAACCAATATCCTAGTGTTATTAAAAGAGGCTGCACTTTTGAACAGACTAAACTTTAAACACAGGACAAAACCCCTGGATGAAAATAACCATAACAAATATTCTTAATGGATATGAATTGTACGAAGTATAAGTTACTCAATGAGCTGAACAAGACTACTGATAAATAAGAGATGTGCTTGCAGTTATGAAGTCTACAATTGGATTAGCTGTTCTAAACAATAGCCTGGAGATGGCAGTCAGACAAAAGACATTTACATATCCTAAAATTTTCCAGCTCTGACTTAAAATGGCAAGATAGTTTCCAGCTGCCTATCCACTTTTTGTGTTTCTTACTGATATTTTACCAAGCACAACCATGTCTCTAAAACTAAGTGGGATTTTCAGCTGATATAATCGTATAAAAAAATGAAACCAAGTCGTAACAATAAGGATTCACGTTAAATTCAAAATGTGAGTGTATTACAACAGCTTTGAAATACACAGTGCAGAAGAAATTAAGTGTTTGCTCCTTCATTAGCCAGAACATCTAACAGCCATACCTATACCTTTCTATGTTTATTTACACTCAGTAAGAGATATATCCATATACTGATGTGCTTTCTAACGTATGGAACAGAAGCATGATGGACTATTCCAACTAACATTTGCCTAAAGCCAATATGCTTTTAGTAAAAGAAATCTATAAAAAATTAAAGGAGAAGAAGTACAATGTGCTGGATAGTTCAGAGCTCATCTCAATTTTCACTTTGTAACATTTCACATTTCTGTTATGAATACTCCATGACTGTCCAAAATCTTTACTTTGGCAGAAGTACAGCCAGAGGCATGAGTCACTCGGACAGATGGTGAACAATTACAGTTAAAATCCAAGAATAAGGCAACATGTTGAATAATTTTTCCATTAGCTGTGACTCCAACATCAAACATCCAAGCTCTTTATTATCTCATTAACTGCTAACAACCTGCAAAGATGGACAGGAACTATTACATTCTGCTCAAATTAAATAGTTGGAAGTTCGATAATTACTGAATATATAATTCATTTGTTTTCAACTGTTATATTTTAAGTCCATTTGGAAATATTTTCAAAGTGAGTTGCGTAAAATGTATTAAAAGGATTACTTTCTAGTTACTGTTCTGTTGTATATCTATCTCTCAAAGTAAAATAATTGACATATGCTTCATAAATCATAATATTACACCAGGCACTTGGGATTAATATTGCTTTCTACATCCTTAAGAATCAAATTCCTTCTCTAATGATTTATAAATAAAAGAATGGTAAGGTTTTGGAAGTTTTCAATCATACTGTAATCTTAATGAGTTTTAGTTTACAATGGTGAGTGTACTGTGTCATGGAGAATCCCCAAATCTCATTATTCTCACCAATTTAAGTGATCCAGAGAATACTGAGCTTTATCTGCTGTGAATAATCCACAGACAAATATATCTACCGAAGAATAAAAAATAACTGGATATATATATATACAATACTTGGATACATTCTTTGGAAGCATTTTATGCAATTTATCAGGTATGAAATTGGGCCAATACGCAGAGAACTGGCTGGACACATCAGCAGATTTTTCTAAAATCTCTGCTTGGATATCCATCCTAATCTACATCGTATTTTTGCTGGCAGACGCATTTAAGCATGCGTGTGCTCTGCTGAAACAGACTATAATTGTTTGCCAGAAAAACTGCCTAGATGTTTTTTCACTGCAGGATTAATACATCAAGATCCTTAATACCAGTGTGATAATGATTTTAACTCTAGTTAGCTGGCCTGATTAGGAGTTACAGGCTGTATGTCTGAGTCCAATTCTTCTCTTAACGATACAATTGCTTCACACAGCTAAATACGGTGTGTAAAAGCCAACTTTGCTTCACCTGAATGAAAATAACAGAACTTATTCCATATGATGGCACAGCCTAGCAGAGTATGGAAACACAAACCCTTCACATCTTAATGTGTATGTGAACGGTAGTACAGTGTGATTAAAATTTTTAAAATAAATTCAACATGGAAGTACGATTCTCTGCTCTTTGTACACAGCACACTGCTTTGGTTTCTTGTCCAGGCTACAAATGACAAATGAAGCAGAAAACCAGCAACTTGCAAAACATGAACACCGTCTGTAGTGCAATAGCAGAAAAAACCTATATAGGATGTACACATATGTCATTGTTACGGTTGCTGTAAACTAACCTAGGATACTCACTAACACAGAAGTAGAAAGGAGCGTTAATTCTTACACAAAGTAATGTACTTCTATATTCAAGTGTAAAAATTTGCATTCTGTGCAAATGAGGAGTTTTTTAAAAACTGTTTGAGGGAAAGTGAACACTTTTCATCTTTAAATCCAACAGCATTACATTCTGCAAAACCATAACTCTACGAATTTACATTAAAACCATCAGTAATTTTAAAAAGGCATATGGAGCCTGTTTGGGTATGTGACACTTTTTGAATTGAAGCTGACCTAAGCCAGCACAAAAGTTCCTGAATAGTATAAACTACATTTTGAAAAGTTAAATACCAACTCCATGAATTTTGCTTCCATGTTTTGTGTTTGTTTTTTTTTTTTTAAATCACTGACATGTTTGGTAAGATATCTTCTGAATTGTTAAGTTAGTTTGATGAATTTTCTGGCAATTATCCTTTTGCAATCACTGATATGATTCCTTAAACAAAAATTCTGACTCTCAAAGGCATGCACAGAAGTCCTAGTCACCTATGCCACAAGGTTTGTTAACGAGGTAGCATAGAAAAAACAATCAACAGGAGACACAAGTGAACTCCCAGCACACAAGGAAATAAACAAAAATAAAACCAGGTTGGATTCTGCCATGTACAAAGAACAAAGCGTTACAATCCAGAAAGTAGAGAGGGATAAACCTATCAAATGAATTCCATTTTTGAATTTCTGTTAATGACTCAGTGGTGAGAAACCTGGAAATATTAGGTTGCAGAGCCTGTTTCTACATGGAATGCTTTCATTTTTTATGGCTTGGAAAGACAGAAAAGAACTTCAAATGCATACATCTAATCAAAAAAGAAATCACTCCTGTCTTAATGAAGCACAAGGCAGAAACAGTCAAGGTAAAGCATGGTACTGGGTCTGGCTGGGATGGAGTTAACCTTCCCCTTACCATGGGGATATTCCACACCAAATGGTGTCATGCTCAGTGATAAAAGCTGGGGAAGGGGAAGGAAGGTTGGGGCTCTCGTTATGAAGACATCCTTCCTCTCAAACAACCACTGCACGTGTTGAGGCCCTGCTTCCTAGGACATGGCCAAACACTGCTCAAGTAGAGAATAATTGCTTTCTCTCTTTGCTTCTGTTAGGCCTTTACTTTTTTTGATGCTTTTTTCCCCCTTTGTTTTTCCTTTAATTATATTATCCTCATCTCAACCAGTGAGCCTTTTTTTTTTTCCTGTCATATTTTCTCACCCCATCTTCCTTTGAGGAGAGGGAGTGAGAGCGATGTGATGGAGTTTAAGTTGGCCATCTGTGAGAAACCACCGCAAGCGTAAATACGTTTTGACAGTCTTCCAGATCTGAAGATCGACAGACACAGGAGAAAAAGCTAGAGAATTCAAAGCTACATCCAGGGCTGAAAATGTCTTCGAGGCTCCTACACCTTTAGGGAAGTTTGTCTTAAGTGCTGGAGAAGTTGAAGATTCAGGATAAACTGATGTTCCACAGGACTGTTTTACTCTTTCAAAACAACTAGAAAATTCTGGCATAGCGAGAAGATGAAAGTCAGCCAGTGAAGACGATCAGAGATGCACAAAATCAAGATGAATTTGCCGTAAATTCACCACAGATAATGATGACCAGGTCTGAAACTAGAAATAATGTAACCCAAAAGTGGATGACCAATTTCACATATCCAACTGTATAGTCTGTTGAAGATTTACAGAGAAACAACTTTTGCATAGCAATCTTCAGACAAAAGAAAGTATGTAAAACCAAAGAGCAGTGGTGCTTTATTATTTCCCAACACGATCTCACATCCAAAAGTTCCCCTGCTTGTAGTTCAAACATGAACACCTAAAAAATTCAGTCTCAACTTTGGAAATGAAATTTTTAATGAATAATTCCTGCCACTAATTTCTTACTGAATAAGAGTATTTCAACTTCTCTATGGTAGTAAATGCAATAAAATTAAACACCTAAAGGTATAAAGCCAAACATTTATTCTACTTCCAATGAATTTACTTGAATGAAGTTGGAGAAATTTGCAGTGTAACAAGAATAAAATAAAAAGGTCAGCAAAAGGTTTCATTTCAAAACCATTCAATTAAGAACAAAAAATTAAAAGCATAAGCATTGCTTTTAAGGAAGAGTCAAAGAAATATTCAAGATCTGTTTGGATTAAAATTAAATGCTTCAGTTTATTTGATCAAGCTTCCAGAAGAGCAACCAAATGTAAACTAAAGATTACACAAAATCATTTAATAAAACTTAATATACTAACTGAAGTACAGGAAATTAAAGTTAGGCTGCCCACTATTTTATTTTGCATTATATTGCACAGTTCCAGCTGTGATTATGTGGTACAGCTCCTGCTAGGAGTTTTTAATCTCTTCTTGTTCTGGTGTTTTTTTGGTTTTGTTTTTTACCTTTAGTAGTTGTCGTCTGTACTGTCATAGGTCACTCTTGACTCTTATTTCCCATGTGTGAAGTATACTGAAAACATATATAAAGAAGGAGCAATAACACAGATATTGCCTATGCTTCAAATTCTTCCCTGTAAAT